TAGTTGCTTTTGTTTTTGAAGTATGAGGGTAATGTCGTTTGAGATGTTGGTGCTGTAGTTTTCCTTGTTCCTTAAGTGCATGAAATTTATAAGTCTGGATGTTTAATTTCTTTACCTTGTGATGCAAAGTACCTCCTTTCTCCTTAGCTAATACACCTTGCTTTGTGGCCAGTGCAGTTTGTCAGCACCCTTGAGCCACGTGTTCATGAGGTAATTCTGTTGTGTAGTAGTGTTCGCAAGTTGTCTGTTTGAACTTTTGAACACTGTTGCCAAGGACTAATGTAGCTCCATCAAAAAAATTCAGAGTGTCTTCGGTGTGGAGATGGAGCTTCGCATAAGCTTGCCAAGTAGCAAGGTCAAACAGGAGGTCCAGGATGATGTTGTTGTGATGGTCATCCAGGAGCAACCCTTCAAAGACTGGTATCACACACTGAAATTAAAATCAGGTATGAAATCATATTTGAAATGAATTAAAACCCACCTGCAACAAATCTTCAAAATCTTGAGCTGTGAGGCACTCCATTGCAGAAGTGTTCTTGTGGAAAAAATGGATTGTACCCCTGCTGAATGTCAGAACATGACAGTACCTGTAGTAGATATGTAGTCAGTAATACAAAAAGCATACCATTAAATGATGTACCTCCAGTTCAACTCTTGTATCATGACACCCCCAGCAGCATGCATGATGTGCAACAAGTAAGTGAAGATAGCCTTCCACACACCAAGCTCAAATTTGTGCAGCATGTCCACCATGAGTATTAGAAAGAATCCAAAGGCAAAAAGATGATCCAAAAAGGTGTTCTGTATCCCATTAGCAACAATTTAAATATAATGTAAAGCACTCACATGTGTAGGGACAAGGGACTCGGAATTAAGGATAGATTTGACTCACTCACTGTCCACTAGCACACCACATTTGAAAATAAGTTTGCATGCCTTTTCAATGTTGGTATGGTGAGCCTTGTCATCAACATGTTGGAGTGACATGCAATTGTGCATATCACATTCTGTACCCATCTCAGATACATTGGCCTTCTTGATAAGGCAGTGTGGACACAGACATTGGCCAAGAAATTTGATACCAGCAAGCAAGATCCTGAAAAGACATCAATCTAAGAAGTGCATGACTAGAAAAACTTACTTCTCTGGATAATCAGCCAAGTAGGTGAAAAAATGTGGAAACACCCTGCAAGTGATTCCATCTCCACAATGGATCATGATCCCATGCTTGTAAGCCTGCATAAAGTCATCATCAAGAAGGAGCTTCCAGATTGCTTGCATAAGCTCCCACTTGCAGTGTGTGTGCACTTCCACTAAAGACACATCCCCAAAGGCCTGAATGTATGAATCTTAAAAATCATCTGGAATCTAAATGTTCTGTCAATGAGGTGCAAGAGATGCATGGGATTTGAAAAAGACTCACTGAAGGAATGTATGCAACATGATGGCATGTGGAAGCTGTTGGTTTTCCATGTGTATACTTAGATTCATTACTAAAAAATAGATAGAATGGCCAGAGTGATGCATCCCTGAAGTCAGAAAGGTGAGTCAAATCAGAATACATCATGAGTGATGTGACAACATGTTCAAGGTTGTTGTCTGCTGCACAGGGAAGGGAGTTAATCTCAGTGTGGGCCTCTAGCATTGCAGGGGAAGAATATGCCTCCAAACAGACCTTGATACTTTGCTCATCTGAGACTTTCCACATCTGACGAAATGGTGTCATATGGAATGCTGTCACTGCACCATTTTCAAAAACTTCTGTTATGATTTTGGTCAAAGATTGATGGTGCACACCTGGGATTTTGAGCTTAGGGGCATCATCTTCAAATGGGCATTTCCTTTTTTCTTTAGAAGGTGAATATAGACAGACGACTCCTTCTATCTGTCACTGGTGCTGAAGGGGTTGGATTGGTCCTCAAGGTACCTTGCAACAAGCTTTTTCTCCTGAGTGACATTGAAATGCCATACATCATTTTGGTTGTAAGCATTGTCATTGAGGAAAGTAGTAAGTTGCTGCAAAGTAGCATCAGAAATTGAGTTGGGATTGGAATATTGCCAGCACAGAAGTAGACCAGCAGTTGGACTACTAAATGCAAAGTATAGGTTCTCAGGAGTGACAGACAATGGGAGGGAGGGGACCAGTGAGTAGTTGAGAAGAGTTGTCCCTTGGATCTTCATAAGTCTGCAACATTGGCATGTCACATACAGTATCAAGGGTAGTACCAGTGTGAGTAACACAACTTGGCTAGATACTTGGTAAAGTACCTAGCCAATATGTTGGGTCTAAAGTGCTGTACCTAGCTGCTATTCAACCCACAAGGGTTTCTTAACTAAACTCAGAGCTCAGAGAGGAGAGAAATCACCATAAAACTGCTAGTCTCAGACTACAGGTCAAAAGTAAAGATAAGAGGTGATAGATAGATAGATGCTTATATAAGCTGCAAAAATGCGAACATAAGCTAAAGAAAGTGGGGGTAGGTGAAGGTAAGGAAAGTAAGTAAATCTAAGCCCAAGGAAAACTTGACTATCACACTGGTCTGTGGAAATAGAGTAGGACAAGTAGGATACACTTGGTACAAACCTATTGTGTCTGGTTCTGTCATAAAAGGGATTGGTTCTTTACTGATAGAGTCTTCAGACATGACCTGGTCATTGGCCCAAACTACCTCATCATTGTTGGGTATCTCTGAGCCAGGAATGAAGTTGTTGCATTGTTTGGGCATGCGAATAGTGCACCCAGAATGTTTGGAGCACATGGGAGCTACACTTGGCTCAGGTAATGGCAGGGAATGTGTAGGGGACTGGAAACATCACTCAAGTCAGTTGAGAGCAATAAAAATGAATATCATACCTGAATATTATGCCAGTCGGCATCCACATCACCCATATCTTGGGAGGATCATCAATTTCTTGGGAGGGATATGCAACATTGGCTCCCTCCTCATCTTCATCCAAACACTTGGTGTAGTAGTTAATTTTCCTCTTTTTCTGCCTCATCTTCTTAGCATGCAGGTGAGATTTGCTGACCTGTTTGATAAAATTATTGTAAAGGTTGCACAGCACTTCATGTGTGCTCAAGCCCTTCTGGTTGTTGAATGCCCTCTCACAACCAAGACAACTGAGTTTGTCCATGGAAAGGGTATGGCCAGGAAAATGGGGAGGGAACAGGTGAGGAACAGGTTATTGATTTAAACTGTATCTAATATACAAGCAGTACTTATCAATGCCAGAACACTTTGTAGGGTGGCACATCTAAAATGACTGGCAGGAATGGCAGACTGGTGGGGGCACACCTCACACCAGGGCATTTGCACACCCTGAGGTGCATTAGGGACAGGATCCCTTAGACTAGAAAATATTGTCCTCCTTAGAGTACAACTCTCCATAGGACATTAAAATTGAATAAAAATAAAAAAAAAGCCGGAACAACTACCAAGAAGAATCACCAGAACACACCTCAGAAATCCTCCACAGTTGTCCTGTGAATTGTTGGAACATTTAACACTGGTCTTGTTTTGTTGGGGTAGAAGCTTCACCAGAGAAAGTGTATGAGGAGGAAGTTGCAGGGAAAGAACTGGGGAGCATCAATGCTGAAAGTGAACTGACATTCTGGGAAGCCTCTCAGGAGCATTTGCCTTTAACAGCTTGTTGATGAATGAGGTCAGTGTAAGCATACCATTTAAGTCTGGTACTGTAAGAAATTCAATAGTGCTGTGTAAACCAGCTCATTCCAAATACCACTGATAAGCGATGAATAGTGTCTTTGGGGCTTGAAGATAGGAAGACAGGTGTTGTGTTGAAGACAATGGGAGGCGATAGCAGTGAGGTGACAAGATTAGTAGTTGAGTAATAGTAAGTGGGGATGAAAAAGGAATAGTCATTGCCTAGCACAGCAAGTCTCAAGTCACACTGCAATATGTGAAAGGTAACCCTACAGCATGCATCCAGCAAGTCCTCTACTGAACATCAACATTTCTGGTTCAGTGTTGAAGCTCTTCAACTCTGAGATCAGTGAAGCTTGGACTGCAGTATGTGGAGCCTCTTCCGGAACACAACTTGCAAGTCCTGGAGGTGCTGTTCTACCTCACATTTGGCAAGTGTCTCAAGCAAGAAAGGCTGCCTGGGAGGGATAGCATTGAGAGCCTCTCCAAGGTGATGCAACACAGGGAGTGGAACTTCATAAATCCAGGCTTCCCATTTTTCTAGACAGACATCTCATGCTCTGCATGACTCTGCATGATAGATTCCACTCACCTGAAGACTCATATAGCTGCGGGAAACATATAAAGAGAACAGAATGAGGACACTGACAGTGGTTGTAAGAATGGATGTGGAGCTAAGCTGCTTGACATCATATGCAACAAGGAGAGTATGGGAGAAAAGTGCATGGTTGATGGTATAGGAGGTGACCACATGGTTGATGGGATAAGTACCATGTGAGATGACTCCTCTCAGGGCAGTGATATCTGCAGATGGTGCATTGCATCATGGATACAGTTTCATAGTTCCTGCACTTGCTTGGGTTTGTAGGTGTTGTAGCCCATGGACCAGCACAGGGTCTTAATGCATGTCTCCATAATACAAAGAGAATGGAGTGAGGATGAGCTTTGCAGATGCCCAATGGTGGCACAAACTGAATATACAACAAGAAGTTCAAACTTTCCATTTTGAAAGTCACATGATTTTATCTGGCAATGAACAAAGCCTCAACAATGTGTCAACCTTTGCAGTGTGCTCATGGTAGTACAAGAAATACAAATTGAATTCTGCTATAGTATTACATCATGTAGAGCATGTCAGTAACTGATGCAAAGTGAAATGAAGGTGTAACAAAATGAAAGCAGGACAAAGTGCTGCAAAGGATTGGTAATAACACAATGAGATGAGATGCAAAAATACTATGTAGTTTTGTCAATGGCTACTATATCAACAGGTGTGATCTTAAGGTTCTCAAAAGCTGAGATTGGCCATGAAGAAACATCTTGGTAGCCATGAGGCTAGCGGGGGGGCCAAATGGAATCTGCATCTCCAAAGAAGTGACTATTACTGAGCTTGCATTTTTCAAAGGTAAAGTCCTTTCTGACTCTGGTGAGCTTCACTGGAGTTGTGGTGAAGAGATTTGGATCATCCCTGCATCAATATCAGACAAAATGAATTAAACACTAGCAAAAAAAACATACTTGATCTTGGGGGTTGTCTCATTGGAGACAAATGTCCCATCCTGGTCATCTTTTGTGCTAGATGAAGAGCTAAGATAGAATGTGAGTCTGTACACTAATGAGCAAAAAAAAATGTATCATACATCTTGCAAGCCTTCAATTCTGAGTCCTCCATATTGCTTTCCTCATCTTCAATATACAGTGGCTCAAAAAACTGTCTGCATGTTTTTGCAAATTTTACTATTTATAATATTGTGTGAGAATACATAAAGACCTCAGTGACATGCTGATACCACCATTAAATAAATTATAAAATGGTGTCATTATGTCATTTTAAAACCATATCTAACTATACAAACCAAATTTTTTCATATGTCATGGTTATATTCACCATGAAAGCCACCCCCCCTGCTCAAAGGGATAATATCCTCTCTCTTTCCTATTCTGGCCTCTCTGCTTGTCAAATTTCCTCTAGAACTGGAGTATACAAGTCTACTGTGGCCAAGTTCATCAAAGAAAGTCACACAGACAAGGAAAACTTCTGTGAAGGGTGTCCATCCAAGCTCACCTCTACTGATAGGAGGGCTATGATTCAACATATCACTACAGGAAAGGCTAATAATGCTATCCAGGCCACCTATTACATCAATTCTACCATCACATCCCCTGTCTCTTCACACACTGTGAGAAACATTCTCAAGACAGCTCATCTCAGGTCAGTGACAAAGAAAAAAGCATCTCCTCTCTATGACACATAAACAGAGATGACTAACCTTTGCCTTAGCCCATCAGAATTGGATTACATGGACTGGAAGCATGTTATATGGTCATATAAGACCAAAATAAATAGAATTAGGTCAGATGGCAAGGTATATATGTGGAAAAAAAAGGTGCTAGTCCTCTCTGCATATGTGTGATAGAGAGGAGAGCCTTTTTTCTTTGTCACTGACCTGAGATGAGCTGTCTTGAGAATGTTTCTCACAATGTGTGAAGAGACAGGGGATGTGATGGTGGAATTGATGTAATAGGTGGCCTGGATAGCATTATCAGCCTTTCCTGTAGTGATATGTTGAATAATAGCCCTCCTATCAGTAGAGGTGAGCTTGGATGTTCTGGGGCTAGAGCAAGTCTCAGCAAGAGTTAAAGATAACAATGCTAACATTTTATTTACCTAGAGTAAGTCTAAGGTATATGTTAGTTAATGTAGAGTATGAACAATAAATATGATGCATACCTCAGCAAGAGTTAAAGATAACAATGCTGAGGTATAATGCTATGAGCTGATGCATATAAGTAGTTTACACAAGGAAGCAAGGAAGTAGTCAGAGCCAATGCTACTGGTAAGACAATGCATGGTATCAAAGGTGCAAGATACGATAAGTGAACAAGAAAAGAAAAGGAAGTTACAAGGTCAATCCCTTGGACCATTGTCCCACACTCTCCTTCCAACACACCCCCTCACCTAGACACCAACTGGAGACTAGTGGCATGTTTGAGGAAGAGCAGATGAGCGAGTGCCTTGGTCAAGATATCAGCAGTGTTGTTGTGAGACAGAAGCCACTTGGGAAGGAAGATACCATTCTCAATATGCTCATGAATAAAATGATACTGCACATCAATGTGCTTTGAGTGTGCATGGTGTTTGGCCTCCTTTGAGAGTGAGATAGTGCCAGTGTTATCCATGTAGATGGTAATAGGAAGGGTGACTGGCAGGTGGAGCTCCTCAAAGAGCAATTTGAGCCAAAGGCCCTCCTGAATAACATGAGTGATAGCCATGTATTTGGCTTCTGTAGATGACAATGCATGCATGTTTTACTTCTTTGAAACAAAAGTTATCAATCCCCCCACAAAGAACCAGGTGTACCCTGAGATTGATAGGCGATCATCAGGCAAGTTTGCCCAATCTGCATCACAGTATGCATGCAGCACATCATAGACATGATTACCATCATAGTGGAGCCATAGGTTAATGGTGCCACAGAGATAGTAGAAAATGCACTTTGCAGCAGCATAGTGAGCTAGAGCCAGATTAGAATTCTTTGGGTGAGAGAGTTGACAGCAAATGAGATGTTGGGGCATGTGCAGATGGCAAGGTACAGCAACTCCCTAATGATCTTTCGATACTAAGACTGGAGGTTAGAAACAGTGGCATAGGTATCAGATGGTCAACTGAATGAGTGATTGGGATTGAGGGGAAGCTGGACAGGGTTGCAATTGAGCAGTCCATGCACCTCAAGCAAGTAAGTAATGTACTCGCTCTGATGAATCCAGAGCTGATGAGTAGGGCAATCCCATTCAAACTGCATACCAAGAAACTATGTGACAGGCCCAAGGTCCTTGATGCCAAAGTGCTACACAATCCTCCCCTTGACCCAGAGCAAGAACTGGTGGGAGTTAGAGGTGCCCATCCCATCATCGACATGCCAACTAATAAGACAAATGATGTGAGAGGGATGCATTTGATCATAAATGAAAAGTGCATGATTGACAGCACACCAAGTGAAGCCAAGTTCCTCCATTACAGCACGGACCTGCTTGTACCACTCCATTGCAGACTGCTTAAGTGCATAGAGCGTCTGCAGCATGTGCCAAACAAGCTCATTCATCTCACCCTCCTTGAACCCCTGAGGCTAGCACATATAGATCTCCTTTTTCAACACACCCCACAAGAAGGTACACTTGGCATCAAATGTGTCCAGCTCCCAATCGTTGTGGCAGGCCAGGGCTGTGATGAACATAATAGAAGCCATCTTGGCAACTGGCGCAAACATGACACCATAATCCACCCCAGGAATCTGAGAAAAGCCTTGCACCACCAAGCAAGCTTTGTAGATTGCGCCCCCCTTATTATTGTCCTTAAATTTGAGTACCCACCTGTTACCAATGGCCTTTTGACCCTTGGGCAAAGGGACAAGCTCATATACCTTCATCTCTTGCATGGTGTTGAGTTCTGTGTGCATGGCATCTAGCCAGTGATCCTGATCAATATGAAGGACAGCCTCATTGTATGTGGTGGGTGGAATTTGCATGTCGTAGGTAGGGTCAGAAGGGTTCCATTTGCAGTTGCTGTGTATGGTGACATTGGCATATTCTTCAATGATAAGGTTGGTGAGTGTCTCAGGCAAGGCAGGATTGGGTTTGATGCTAATGAGATCTGCAGTGTCATCAGTAACCTTATCACCCTGCCCTTGAACTACCTCCACCACCTCAGTAATGGTGAGGAGTGGTTTATGTGCACATTCAGAGCATGTTTCATGGAGTGCATGAAGGTGGGCTTTGGTAGCTGCAAGTTCTACTGCAAAGGCTTCACCTGCAGGAGTGAGTACCCATGTCAGAGCAGAATGATGAATGGCAGCTGGAGGGGAAGAGGGCATGGAAGGAAGACTAGATGATGGAGGAAGTGGGTTTGGTATGGCTGCATTAGCATCTGAATCTGAATCTGAGTCATCATCACCTGGTGGGATTGAGAGAAGGTTCTCATTGAAGATTACATCTCATGTGGTAAAGAACACCCCAGTGTCCTTATCATGAAGGTGATAGCCCTTCACTCCATCAGGGTACCCCATAAATATAGCAGGGCATGATTGAAGACCCATCTTTGTCTGCAGTTCAGTTGGAATGTGGGAGAAACAGCAAGCCCCAAAGACATGCAGATGCAAAAGATCTGGCTTCTTCCCATTGATGAGCTGGTAAGGTGTCACACCTGGAGGAAGGGTGTGTGATTCACTGCAGTTCCATAGGTAGCACATGGTCAATGCGGCTTCCCCCCAAAGTGTGGCAGGAATATTAGCTGCCTCTAGCATGGCAAACATGTGACCTTCAACAGTTCAGATGGCCCTTTCAGCCTTACCATTCTGTTAGTGAGCATAGGGAGCAGAGAGCTGTTGCTCAATCCCTGCACTCTAAAGTGCTTCTGTGAAGGCTGAACTGGGAAACTCACCTCTGTTATCAGAGTGGAAAATCTTGACCTGCCTGCCTGAGTGATTCTCCCATCGTTTCCAAACAATCTCCCATGCTGCGAGGGCTTGGTCTTTTGTAGTGAGCAGTTGGAGGGAAAGAAGATTGGTGTGGTCATCAAGGAACATGATGAAGTGCACTTTGCCATGAGGAGTCATGGTAGGGAATGGGCCGCAAAGGTCAGAGTGGATCAAGTCTAGCATGTAGGAGGCACAAGGCTCTGTGGATGATGGGTAAGGCTTACATGGGTGTTTGGCCATGATGCAAGGTTTGCACTTCTGCAAGGGCACTGCTGACTTAACCATTACCCCATTAGCAATTAAGGGTAAATGTTTCATAGCATCACCTCCAATGTGTCCTGCGCAGACATGCCAAAGATTCTATGACAAAGGAGCACACACGAACATTGAGAGTTCTCAGAGTGACAATGTCAGGGCAGCTTCATTAGGGCAGATGAACTTGAGGTCGAGAAAAACCAGGTTTCTGGTCAGAGGAATATCCCCAAGACATCACCACAATATGTGAGTTGACAGCGAGCTGGGTATGGTTTGAAGTGACACTCCCAACCTTTTTGAAGCATGTAACCAACCAATAAGAGGTTGATAAGTGCTCCTGGAGCATAAAGACAATTGCTTAAATGAATATGGAAGACTTGTCCATTGATAGTTAAGTCAGCAACACATTCATCTCTGCCTGAAGTGGGCAGCTTGCCATGATTAGCCGTCATTACAGTGATGCTCATGTCTTTGGAGAATGTCCAGAAGAAGCTGCAATCTGTGACAAGAGTAGATATAGTACCCAAGTCGAGAATGCTGGAGAGATGTTGCTACATGATGCAAGCAAGGTTTTCAGCAGTGGGTGATAACTCAGGAGAAAGAGCCTCTATCATGGCAAAAGACAGGTCTTGACAGTGAGTAGCAGGTGGAGAGTCATTGGAGGACTTAGTAATAGCAGTCTTCTCACTGGCATTAGCTGAAGCGGTGAAGGTGAGGACTTTGGACTATGGGAGAAACTGACTACTACTAGGGGAACTCTACAGCAAGACCTGGATGTGAGACAGTACTCAACCCAAAGGACAGCTACTGAGAGAGAGTCCTTGAAATGACTGAGGGAGACTCTGAAACTGAATGGGTGCTAGAGGATATGCAAAGTGTGAACACTGGGAGAAGCACAGTTGAGATGTGCACAAAAGTGTGCTGGGGTGATAGGAAGTAAGAGTGTGTGTGCAATGGGGGTCTAAAGCATAGAGGCAAGAGCTATCTGGAAACTAAATCCAGTGAAGAAGGAATCAAACTGGCATGAAGCAATCACGTCTAAGCAGGTAGCACACAAATTCAAACTTTTGGGATCTTTAAACTTTCTCTAATGTGCAAACTACTACTAATACACAGAGGTGGGGAGTGCTAGGATAATGTCCCCAAAAAAACTATAAGTCCCTTTTCTATAATGAGCACTAGGTGACACTTGTAGTGTGGAAGCAAAGCAAGTAGGTAGTGATATCTGTATGTAATGGTGCTTAAGCACATGTGTGTGCATTTACAGTGCTGTAATCAGTCCAGAAGATACATTAAAGTGATAAGAATACAATAAGAATGCACCAGTGGACTTTAGCAAGGACATGGACGGGTGGATGGACTGTAGTGGGGGACCTAGAGTGGGTGCACAGGACATGCAAGTGCATTCACATGCATGCAGTATTTGTGTGATAGCGTGAGTGACTTATCCTGAGAATCAGAGCTGGAGTATCAGTGGGAAGGGGTGGTATATTGTCCTATAACAGTGATATAGAGGTGCAAGTCTCTACAGTGACTATGTCCTTGTCCTTTTTGGGCTGCTGCTTCTTGCCACTGCAAGACCAGGGCACTTTCCCCTTCATTCCACCCCCTGGCTGAAGGCAGTGTTCAAGATTGTGTGTGAGTGCATGTGGGAGTCCAGTGCAGACAGAGTTGTTGCAGGGCACCCCATTGGGGTTGTTCCTGTGGATCCTTACACTGGTCTTTGAATTGACCTTGTTCTCAAATGGGGGAGTTGCAGCGTTCACATACTCAGACCCTGGACCAGTGGCTGTCCATTCCCCATGGATATGGTTTGCCTCTTCAGAGAGTGAGGTGATGATTTCCTGGAAGGTCATAACAGGTGGAGGAGCAGACAAGCCAGTTGTAGAGGTTGATGGTACAGCACTTTAATTGTACTGCCTGACAGTCATCTATTTGAATACCAACCATTCAGGAGTTTGGGGAAGCCCTTGGAGAAGAAGGAAGATGGCCTTGTTGTCAGTAAAGACAACATTCATTTCGGCAAACTGATGATGCACATTTTTGAAGACACTAATATAACAGAAAACATCATTCATGTCTTTCAGCTTGATGCTGGAAAGTTGTGTGCATAGCTCAAAGTGGGATGTGATATCGAGTGGACTGAAATGCAGAGCAAGAGTATCCCATTGTTCTCATGCAGTGAGCTGCTCACTGATAAGTCCTTGGACAATAAACAACAATTTGCAACAGATGATTCCTTTCACCTGAGCATCTTCCTTAAGCCAATCCTTGATATCTTGCTTTTCAGCAGCTGTGGGTGCACTTGCTTGAGTAGGAGTTGGTATGTGCAATGCAAGTTTGGTAAGATTGTTGATGTCAGTTCCTAAACTACAGTGAGTCCAAAGACCTTTGCCTTGCAATGCCAACATGACAGCACAACACCAGCTAGGATATTCGTCTGAACTGGTGAGTTCGATAATGTGATCAAATTTGCCCATGATGAGGACAGAATGAATAGTGGAGGAAGTGATTGGATGGATGCCGAAACAATTTGTTTGTTCAGTGAGCATGTGTATATGCTGCAAGCCTACTAGTTAGCCTAGTTGAATGTCTGGGTTGTACTTAACAACTCAGACAGGGCTCATAACCTTCTGGGGCTAGGGCAAGTCTCAGCAAGAGTTAAAGATAACAATGCTAACATTTTATTTACCTAGAGCAAGTCTAAGGTATATGTTAGTTAATGTAGAGTACGAACAACAAATACAATGCATACCTCAGCAAGAGTTAAAGATAATAATGCTGAGGTATAATACTAGAAGCTGATGCATATAAGTAGTTTATATAAGGAAGCAAAGAAGCAGTTGGAGCCAATGCTACTGGTAAGACAATGCATGGTGTCAAAGGTGCAAGATACAATAAGTGAACAAGAAAAGGAAAGGAAGTTATGAGGTTCATCCCTTGGACCATTGTCCTGCACTCTCCTTCCAACAGGATGGACACCCTTCACAGAAGTTTTCCTTGTCTGTGTGACTTTCTTTGATGAACTTGGTCACAGTAGACTTGCATACTCCAGTTCTAGAGGAAATTTGACAAGCAGAGAGGCCAGAATAGGAAAGAGAGAGGATATTATCCCTTTGAGCAGGGGGGGTGGCTTTCATGGTGAATATAACCATGACATATGAAAAAATTTGGTTTGTATAGTTAGATATGGTTTTAAAATGACATAATGACACCACTTTATAATTTATTTAATGGTGGCATGATTGCTATGGTGTCATAAATGATGATTTATATAGTTTTAATATGTGCTCAAAAAACTGTCTGCATGAGTCATAATTTTGTAAGCCTCTCCACCATATCTCCTCTGATTCTCACAGTGTGGTGCTCAATTGAAAGCTGTCATATCCCATATGCCAGACATAGATCCCATCATATTCCCACACTTTCTGGACCTATTTCCGGACCCCATATCCGACTCCTTCCTGGATCCCCTATCCTGTCCACCCTATGCACATTCCGTCCAGCAAGACATCTGGACTTTACCTTCTCTCAGATTCTGGACTACATCCACCACCTCACATATCTCAGTCCTGTTTCCATCCTGCCTTCTGGATCCCCAGATCTCTGGACCTCCAGATATTAACTGTACTATCTCAGGACCTATTCCCACCCTCTGTCAGAGATCCTGCACCTATCCCCATTTAGGCATCTCTGCCTTTCTGGTTCTCAGTTATCTCTGTTTCCGTCTTGCTGATTGATCCTTGTACTAGTTTCATCTCCAAGTTCATTTACTTATGTTCCATCTTACTTACTAATGTGTTTCCGCATGCTTGTACATAGCCTTACTCCTTTGCTTACTGATCCTCTCAGATAGCCTCTAGTATATAACCCCTGTACAACTACAGTAGAGTCCTCAGTCTGAATATCATCTTAGATCCTGTTCCCTCACCTTAGACTTGCCCAATCTTCTTCCGGACTTCAGTCCATCTGAGTTTGTCCTTTTCCATAAGGCCTAGGGATGGATTCCCTAGGCCAGAATTCCAGACCTTCGGATTTGTCCCCTATGTCTCTATCCCAAGTCTAGGGATTGCTTCCCTAGGCTGGAGTCTTGCCTTTCCAGCACTTATCCTCTTTCTGGACTTAGGTCCACTTCCTGTCCCTCCAACTCTACCTTAGGGTAGTCTACCTCTGTTTGCTTCTGCATCGGACTTCGTCCAATGTAGCCCCTATTCCTTCTGGACCTCTGGACCTCCTGTCCCTCATACCTCCGGGCATCCTGTCCTTCGGACGTTCTGCCCTCCGTACCTTCAGACATCTTATCCTTCCATCCTGTTTTCCTGTAGAAGTATTACCTTGCAGCAGGAACTCTCCTGAGCATTTCCTGCATTCCTCCGGAACTCTCCCACGCTCCTCCGGAAGTCCTTCCGCACTCTCCACCAGAGTAGCCAGCCTCCAGAAGTCCTCTGGACTTTGTTAGACCTTCATTGGACTTCCTCTGAAGTGAAGGGCACATACTCAGGTAAGGGGCACAGCATACGAGCTGAGGCCAAGCCCCTCTGAGTTAGTCTCTCTCTCCTTTGAGCATGGTTCTTAACAAAAGCCCTGAAGCCATACTACAATATGGTATCAGCATGTCACTGAGGTCTTTATATATTCTCACAATATTATAAATAGTAAAATTTGCAAAAACATGCAGACAGTTTTTTGAGCCACTGTATGTTCTATTCACATACTCACACCTCTCTAGTATAATATTCTTCCTGAGACCATAACTAAATGACTTCATTTTGCAACCACAGCAATGCATGCATATGGCCATGAGTGGGCTTGCCAGCTCATCTATAATCCACAAATGTGCCTTGGCCTTGGATTGTCCAATGGGGAAGGGACTGAATGACTTTGGTCACACTTTTTTTTGTCCAGCTGATTAGTGTTGAGAAGACTTTTTCTGTATGTGTCACCTCATCATTTCTTCTCATGTGTTGTGTCCTTTGGACAGATAGACACTGTTGAACACATCCATTCATTTGCACACTCTCTCTTTCTGCATTCTATATGCTGGGTAAGCTCTTATTTCATTCTCCTCACTTTCCTCGTCACTAATGTGCCCTAATGTCCAATCCTCTTTGTTTCCTTCCAATTCATCTGGGCCATATGTCTCATCTCCATATTTAATAAAGTGAGTTGTTGCTGATTTCACCATGTTCTCATATGCTTGTACTAATGTTTCATCCCCCCATCTTCTTAGAGGTACTCTTTCTGGAAGCTCAATTCTTCCAGTGTGAAAGAGAAATAGGTACTAGGCTGTTAGCAACTAGCACTACTTATCCTAAGAGGTGTGAGTTAACAGATCAGCCTGAGAGGACTGCTATTGAAGCACTTCCTTTGAATATGTGTGAGGGAAGCAATGAGTGAAGGAGTTAAAATCTATAGTGGCCTAGAAACAAGAGTGCAGTGTCTTAATAACTGAGGGTCTTATATAAATGCGTGTAAAATGTAATGACACCACAATTACACTAGGATAAGACTTCTTGCCAGTCCTCAATTAACACAGTCTATGACTTTTCTTCTTTTGTGGTAGATAATGTGTGAGTTCTTGGGAGGCTCACTAAACCAATCTATGTAATTAACTTAGCTGGAGCTTTTGTGTTTTATCCCAACTTATAAACTTGTCTAGGATAAACCATCTAGACACTGGAACATGGTTCCTTGTTAAGATAATTCTCTGTAGAGATAATGGTAAATGATCAGATTGACCAAAGCTCGTGTTGGTCAATATCAGAAAACTAGGTGAGAAGCTGGTCTCAAATAAACTGAGTTTTTATTGTAAGAAACTTATGTAATCTCAAGGGAATGTCTTTTCCCTGCACTTGGTACTTCAAAGGGGCTTTCTTTGTAAGCAACAATCTTCACAGTGAGTAGCTCAAACTGAGATTCAAATGATTGCAAGTGGGAGATCCTATTTTTGGGAGGAGAATGGGCCCTCCTTATATATATTTTGTGTGGGAATGTTATGTAAGTAAAAAAGCGGTGTGGATAACACAACTTGGCTAGATAGTTGTTAGAATACCTAGCCAATATATGTCTACTAGTCCTGCCTAGCTGCTACACTTGCAAGCAAGAACGTTTGACCCAAGGGATCTGCTGTCTAGTCAAGTTCAATAATCAGTACTACACAAAGGGTCAAAAGTCCGAAGGTATGGGACAAAGTCCGATGCATGGGAAATTGGGTCTGCAGGTGTGGAGATGCAGAGATGGCAGGAGAGTGAGGGAATGGGAGGGAATGCATCAGGACTAGCTTGGAGATGCTAGGCAACATCAGATGAATGAGTGACACTCATGTTGGGTCAAGGAAAGCAGGTAAACAGGTATATTGGCAAGGGTAACTCTAAGGACTGGTATGGGGTGACCAGTATCAGGGAATTCTCCCTCCTACTAAGTGGTGATTATGATTCTGGTCACCTAACCCTATATAACTAGCTATGTGAAAGTCCGGAGTCCATAGGTGAAAGTAGTAGCAAAAACTCGGGTCTGATAATATGTAGGTAAAAGGCCATGAGGTACTGTGGCCAGTGGGAATCCATGTAATAACACTGTCTACTCAATCAGTAATGAGAAATAACTGACTACACACCAGTGGGGTTAAGCAGGACTGGACTGGACATGGTAGGACAAGTGCGCAGGATCTCCAAGCAGGTCCAATGCGTCAGAGATACGGAGATGGCAGAAAAACATCAGAGATGGGTAGAAGATGTGTGGACTGGCTGGGAATTGCAGAATGGGGTCCTAGCAGGCCAGCCTGAACATGATCATCACAGCAGAGCAATGACATTAGAAGTGGAGCAGAATATTCCAGAAAGTGGAGCAGAACATTCCAGCAGGTGGAGTAGAACATTCTAGCAAGTGGAGCAGAACATTCCAGAACAAATGACATCATTACGACATCATACCCTGTAGGTACAATTTTGTGAAGTATCTGATGGGTCAGAGCATCCCAATAGAAAAATAAATCAAGGAAATACTAGAGAAAACAACTCGGAAATAATAATACAATAATAAGACACAAAACACAGGTTTTTTAGATAGGTTTTTGTTAGGCTTTAAACTTTTCTCTATGGTTTTCTCTAGCCAAAGTGAATAAGCCAAAGGCAAGGCAATACCTTAACCTTCTTATTGCTTCACAATATCAACTAGGTCATTATGTGATTCCCATCTCACAAATGACTTTTCTTCAAGATATAATAAATTCATGAATCACAGAGGAGAAACTGAACTATTTGACCAAGGTTTGAAACCAAGGCATGGGTTGACTAGTCTGATGGCTAAGCTAACAGACTTTGTCTTTTAGGGGGCTACCTAGTAGTCATGTCCATGCATGATTCCCAAATCATGCAGGACACCATGATAATCTGTTAAGAACCATGTTGCTCAAAGGAGAGAGACTGACTCAGAGGGGCTTGGCCTCAGCTCGTATGCTGTGCCCCTTACCCGAGTATGTGCCCTTCATTTTGTATGAGGTCTGATGATGGTCCAACAAAGTCTGGAGGACTTCCGGAGGCTGGCTACTCTGCTGGAGAGTGCGGAAGGACTTCCGGAGGAGCGCGGGAAACATCCAGAGGAGCACGGGAGAGTTCCGGAGGAATGCAGGAAGTGCTCAGGAGAGTTCCCACTGCGAGGTAATACTTCTACAGGAAACAGGATGGAAGGAAGGAGGTCCAGAGGTCCAAAGGTCCAAAGTTCCGGAGGACAGGATGTCTGGAGGTCCAGAAGGAATAGGGGCTACATTGGATGGAGTCCGATGTAGAAACAAACAGAGGTAGACTACCCTAAGGTAGAGTCAGAGAGACAGGGATTGGACCTAAGTCCAGAAAGGGGGAAAGTGCCAGAAAGGCAGAGCTCCGGCCTAGGGAGTCAATCCCTAGGCCTGATGGGTAGGACAGACTTAGGTGGACCAAAGTCCAAGAGAGGATTGGGCAAGTCTAAGTTGATATTCAAACTAAGGAACTACAGGAGTATCTACAGGGGTTATATACTGAACAATATCTGAGGGGATCAGTAAGCAAAGGAGCAAGGCTATGTATGAGCATGTGGAAACACATTAGTAAGTAAGACAGAACATAAGTAAATGGACTCGGAGATGAAGACTCATACAAGGATCAATAAGCAAGATGGCAGAAGAGGTAACCAAAAGCCAGAAAGCAGAGAATGCCTAAATGGGGATAGGCGCAGGATATCAGACAGAGGGTAGGAATAGGTCTGGAGCTAATATCCGGAGGTCCGGAGATCTGGGGATCTGGAAGACAAGGTGGATACAGGACCAGGATATGAGAAGGTGGATAGAGTCCAGAATCCAAGATGAGGTGAAGTCCAGATGTCTTGCTGGATGGAGTGTACATAGGGTGGATGGGACAGGGGGTTATGGTTCAGGCTAGCAGTGGAGATCCGATGGTCCAGAGCTCAGGGGTAAATCCAGAGCGTAGTCGATCCTGCTGAGGTGTGGAGCACACAGCAGAAGGGGATCTGGGAATGAGTTGGATATGAAGTGTGGTCCAGATGTAGGCTTGGAAGGCGTGGGAATATGATGGAACGTGGGTCCGGATTGTGGGATATGACATAATCCTCCTGCTAGTGACCAGTGGTCATCTCCTAACCTTTTCATGGACTCACCTTTTACATTCAACTACACTCAAGAACAGTTAGGTAGAGGACAATATCAAACACTACCTGTTGAGTTGACATCCTCTCATCTCAGGAGCAAGCTCAAGCCTACAGGTACAGGACATTGGCATTATCAGAGGGGCCACTCTCCATCACCAGGCCTGTCAGCACCTCTCTGAGGACAGTGCACAGTCTGATCCACCAGGCTTTAACCATAAGAGGACTTTAACAAGCAACATGTCATCACTTGCACCCAATGTTGCTGGATGTTATCATGCCTCACCAATTCTACCTGCTTCACCTGCCCCTCCACAATCAAGCAATTTGTCATCACTTACACTTAACATTGCCCATAGTCGTCAGGCCTCACCATTCCCACTTGCTCCTGCTGCCCCTACACAATCAAACAATGCATCATCACTTACACTTAATGTTGCTTGCAGTTGTCATGCCTCACCATTCCTACCTGCCCCTGCACAATTGCCAGATCTATTTTATGGCTCTAGTATGAGTCATCAAGCTGCTTGGATGGAGCAAAACCTGAGTCTGGCACTGACACCTATGGCATGTTGGAAGGTGACACCTTGGGTTACTTGAGGATCAAACTTTAGATGTGGTTGGAGCATCTGTGCCTGCTAATGTGCAAGGCAGCCAGCTCACCATGCAAGATGTGTCCTGTCTACCACCTCAGCTCTCATTTCATTTTCCTCAAAGTTCAATGGGACCATTGATGTTACTTCCTCATGGATGCTCACAAGGCCCTGTGGGTCAATAACCTTCAGGTTTTCCCCAGGATTTGTCTCATCTCTCCCTATTTGTACTCCATCCCATGCCATCCTCACCTCGAGACCATGCACTCCCCTTTCCAACCACAAATATAATTCCACCAATGCCACTGCAGCATGGCGCCAGCAAGACTAACAATGCCATTTCAATGAACACTGCTGTGACTCAGGCACTCCCTGTTGTGACAAGAGATCCCAGTCCATGGTTGAACCTGGGGCATTATCCTTCTGCTGCTATCTCCAATAGACAGTTTCCTGAGGAAAATAAGCCAGTCATACATAATGATGGTCCCACTGTTACAGGACAGGACACAGGTCTACAGAACTGAAGGTGACCCTTGGTGCCAGGTTTACAGAAGTTGAATGTTGCTTTCTCAATCTGTCAACATCTACCACACTCCCTATCAACCAGCTGATCAATTCATTCTTGAAGAGCCATGGATGCATGGTAATTAGTACCAATTACTGAAATCTTTATGCAAAGTACTTTAAAAATAATGTCTAGCAAGAACTTGCTCACACTGGCAGAGAGGTACCTGAAGGAGGTGGTACACCTAGTGAGTATGATTTCACTGGAATCATGTATATCATGTTTATCGTCTTGCAGGTGCAACCATGCAAACATAATGCTACAATAAGTTCAAGGAAGCCTACCCTGACACATATCAAGACATCCTGTTTGATGCACAAGGAGGCATCTCTCCTAGGGTCATCTCCCCAAACCATTGTGCAGCATGGCCAAACTTTTTAAAAACATTATCAAAGGGTTATTAATATTGCATGTCATTATATTATCTATTGACACCACCTGACTCTTTTTGTCATAGCTTGAGTCTGGTTCTATTACATTTGGCTTTGAAGCAGCTATCATACTCTGTGGGAATGTGGTTAATGAGGATGAATCACTTGGTCACTGCTATAACACACCTGGCACTGCGGGGGTAAGCTCATTCATAGGTATATGTATGTGCTGACACACACTCAACAAGTAATAGTGTTGGCAGATATGGTGCCATTGTAGGGATTTCATATTCTGTGGGCTTGTATAGGCAGATATTACTTAGTGTTATGTTCGCACTTTTAGTGCTTATGTAATCATCATAGTTTTCACCACCTACCAGCACCAGTCTGAGACTGAGAGTTTATAGCATGATTTCCTATCCTCTCTGAGCACTGAGCTTAGTCCAGAAACCCTTTAGGGTTAAATAGCAGCTAGGCATAGCACATTTAGCCCAACATTAGAAGTCTACTTTTCAGTTCTCTTCTTGTTGTGTTTCCCACATCATTCATTGGTCAAAGGATAGAATGCTTTCAATGCTCTATGTGCCAACTCTCCCTGGTACAAAATCAAATTGAGTTGAAAAAAATATGATGAAGATTTACATACAATTTGAGTAGTAAAGGAGTCTGTGGTCCCAAAGAGCTGGATTGATTGCACATAGTCCCCCATAGCATGGAATTTATAGGTATTCAAATTGAATTTCTTAGCCTTTCAGCTGCTACCCCCAGTGTCTGGATTGTGGGGACATGGGCATTCATGCACAGCCTTGCACTCACATGCAGTTCTTTCCTTTGGTAACTCTGCTGTGTTGAAAGCAGCACACATGAAATCATGAAACTTGTGCAACTGATGGAAGAGCCTCTTAAATGTCTTATCTAGAGTCAATAATGTGCTTTCAGTATGCACCCTGAGTTTTGCAAGAGCATGCCAGTGTGGAAACCTATACAGCAGTGACTGTACAATCACATTGTGGTCTTCAAGGAAAAGTTCTTTGAAGATCAGTATAGTACACTAGAATAGACATGAGTCAATGTTGTACAACACATGATAAAGTAACAAGATGAACCTGGAGCCATATGTCCCTCAGGATTGGAGTAAGCCAGCTGCCCATCAAGCTCAGGGTGATGTTATCAAACTAATGTCCACTGAAGAGAAGCCCTCTGAAGAACCTGACATGGAATACAAAGAGGCAGCACATGGGAAGAGGAAGCTTAAGTTGACAAATATATTGTGTGTCAAAGAAGCTTGCCCCATTGACAGAGAAGACTGATGCTTTGAAAGTAGGGAAGAAAGGAGCAGGAGCAAAGAACAATCTCCAACCCAAGGGTCCTCCCTTGCAGACATCAAACCCTTTTCCAACGAAGGGTGGTCCACTATCCCCATTGACAGTAGATTCATCAAGCATAGCAGCCTCACCAGAAAGTGAGTATCATTCACTTCCATTCAAGTCCTGCTTATTTCAGATTTTACAGGCACAGCAATGTGACTTTGAGATGGGCCAGATGGGCCCTCAAACATCTCAGAGGAAAAAAAGAGTCAGTTTATTTCATTTGTTTCTGTATTTCTATGTCTCATTGTCTATACTCTAGAATATGTCAAACCACAACCAGTCATCAGAGGCTCTAAGTGTCTTATGAAGCATGCTCTTTATATGATATATAACAACTTGGACTCTGAATCTGGAGAGGATAAGGACACAAAGGCAGCTCCCACTGAAAATTGTGGCAATGTCAAGTCCTCTGGTGCAGTCCATACTCAGGCAGATGATGCTTCAGAAGGAGGGGCACTACACAATGAAGTACCAGTGGGTACTACACACAAGGAAGAACAAGCTCCTGCTGTCACACCTACTGTTCCAAATCAACAGCCTCTTGGTGTCTCTCATCCCCAGGTTCCACCTCTTTGTGATGTCCCTTGTGACTTACAGCCTGAAGTCCCTCATCCTAATATTCCTTGTGACCTGGAACTTCTTCATGATGCCCCTGGTACCCAGATTCCTCATAACTTGGATCCTTTGCATGAGCCACTGCACAACCTTCATGAGCCTTCACACAACCCTTGTGAGCCTCTCCAGCACCCTTGTGAGCATCTCCATTACACTTGTGAGCCTATTTGGCATGACCCTCATGGTGCCCCTCCTGACTCATGAGATGATATTCAATATAACCTTTGCTATCCTTCCCATGGCAATTCTTGTGACCCTCTGCACTCATTTGACCAACATTACTGTGTGTGTCATCACAAGGTCCAGAGTCAGCATGAAGTCACTTCAATTATCAACCACAACTCCCTTCACCCCCACAATGCCTTTTACCAGTGTGATTCTCATCATCCCCACTACCTTGGTGGTTACTCACATCTGGAGAGTGATTTCAATACTTGGGATAGCTCTCCTATATCGGATTTACTTGGTCACTTTAGTCATGGTGAGCAGGAACACTCATATCCAAGCAGGTATAGCCCTGTATTTGATCCAGGCTATACTCATGAAGCTGAATATAGTCGATGTGAGGACTGTGATGAGCATGGGCACTTATTAGCTCCCCACTGCCCAGTTGGTGCAGATGCTTATCATAATGGAGGATACCCCCAAGACAGAAGATACTACAAGTCAAAGTGGACAGACCATGAGGATCCCTATGTCCATAATGCTGTACCATGATCCACTTGTGATGCAACTAACCCCCTATGAGCACTTCCTCCTTAACCAACACCTACCTTACTTCTTAACTTCATGTCTATGTTTTCCCCATCATTATGGTGTCCTGTCATATTTTGCTCATGCCTATCCTCATCATCTTGTTGCTATGTCATGACTCCCTGTTATACCTCACATTGGTAGCTACTATGTTTTGTAATCTTTTATGTCAATATCAGTATAGTAGCTGCACAGCCTGCTTTTGTCTTGTTCATATTGTTCACCTGATCACTAAGAATGTTGCACAGGAATGAAATCCTCAGACAAATGATCACACTGCCAAGACTTCTTATATGTCAGAAAACTTGAATCTATGGAGATTTCATGATTCTCATCAAACATAAGCATTTAATGGAGGGAAAAATCTAACCCAACATAACATAACATAAGTAATGACAGAAATGATGAGGGCTATGAGAGGTCATTATACCAATGACAGCAGGACAGGTTTACATACAGTGGCTCAAAAAACTGTCCGCATGTTTTGACATTTTTCACTATCTATGATATTGTGTGAGAACGAACAAATGCCTCAAGGACATGCTTATACCACATTGTAGTATGGCTTCAGGGCTTTCATTTGAGCCCTACACCGTGGGAATCGGTGGAGATATGGTGGAGATACAAGGCTCACAAAATGGTGACTCATGCGGACAGTTTTTTGAGCACATATTAAAACTATATAAATCATCATTTATGACACCATAACAATCATGCCACCATTAAATAAATTATAAAGTGGTGTCATTATGTCATTTTAAAACCATATCTAACTATACAAACCAAAATTTTCATATGTCATGGTTATATTCACCATGAAAGCCACCCCCCCTGCTCAAAGGGATAATATCCTCTCTCTTTCCTATTCTGGCCTCTCTGCTTGTCAAATTTCCTCTAGAACTGGAGTATGCAAGTCCACTGTGGCCAAGTTCATCAAAGAAAGTCACACAGACAAGGAAAACTTCTGTGAAGGGCGTCCATCCAAGCCCACCTCTACTGATAGGAGGGCTATTATTCAACATATCACTACAGGAAAGGCTGATAATGCTGTCCAGGTCACCTATTACATCAATTCCACCATCACATTCCCTGTCTCTTCACACACTGTGAGAAACATTCTCAAGACAGCTCATCTCAGGTCAGTAACAAGGAAGAAAAGGCTCTCCTCTCTATCACACATAAACAGAGATGACTAACCTTTCTTTTTTCACATATATACCTTGCCATCTGACCCAATCCTATTTATTGTGGTCTTATATGATCATATAACATGCTTCCAGTCCATGTAATCCAATTCTGATGGGCTAAGGCAAAGGTTAGTCATCTCTGTTTATGTGTGATAGAGAGGAGAGCCTTTTCTTCCTTGTTACTGACCTGAGATGAGCTGTCTTGAGAATGTTTCTCACAGTGTGTGAAGAGACAGGGAATGTGATGGTGGAATTGATGTAATAGGTGACCTGGACAGCATTATCAGCCTTTCCTGTAGTGATATGTTGAATAATAGCCCTCCTATCAGTAGAGGTGGGCTTGGATGGACGCCTTTCACAGAAGTTTTCCTTGTCTGTGTGACTTTCTTTGATGAACTTGGCCACAGTGGACTTGCATACTCCAGTTCTAGAGGAAATTTGACAAGCAGAGAGGCCAGAATAGGAAAGAGAGAGGATATTATCCCTTTGAGCAGGGGGAGTGGCTTTCATGGTGAATATAACCATGACATATGGAAATTTTGGTTTGTATAGTTAGATATGGTTTTAAAATGACATAATGACACCACTTTATAATTTATTTAATGGTGGCATGATTGTTATGGTGTCATAAATGATGATTTATATAGTTTTAATATGTGCTCAAAAAACTGTCCGCATGAGTCACCATTTTGTGAGCCTTGTATCTCCACCATATCTCCACCGATTCCCACGGTGTAGGGCTCAAATGAAAGCCCTGAAGCCATACTACAATGTGGTATAAGCATGTCCTTGAGGCATTTGTTCGTTCTCACACAATATCATAGATAGTGAAAAATGTCAAAACATGCGGACAGTTTTTTGAGCCACTGTAACATGTTGGGCTCTCAGAGAGGCCTCTAGAACTGGAGAAATACAACATAAGCAATGACAGAAATGAAAATGATGGGAGGCTACAAGAGGGTTGTTATACTGATGACAGCAGGGAAGGTTTGTATAACATGAAGTTGAGGGCTCTCAGAGAGGCCTCTAGAACCAGAGTTAACTACCCTCCAGTGACAATGGAGGAGTCCATGGGGTGACCTGCCAGGATGCTGTTGTGCCTCTTGAGGGGATTGAAGGGGAGGCCCTGGGGAGAGGCAGGTCTCAGAGATAGGTTTCGTCCTACAATGAAACTGGGTCTAACAGACTGTGAGAACAGTACAAAAGTGCTGCCAAGGGTGAGGGTGTAACACCCACTCTCATCCAGACTCAATGCATGAAGAAATGCCCTGGTTGCTCTGTTCATAGCATATCCATCTGATTTCATATGCAGTGGGATTTTTGAATGTGTCAAACAACACTTTTGGTGTGTAACCTTGTCCAGCAACAGATTGAGCCATGTTATGCTGCATGTTCACTGACAGGACCATGAGAGTGATGTTGAAGAGGACATAGCAATGTTGAGCTAGGAGAGTGAGGAATGAAGAAGGAAGAGGGGACAACAGTGGCAAAGATGGTATTGTGAATAATGGGAGCAAACAGGGTAAGCCCAGCTGGACGACTGTTTTAGTGCTGTGTGTAATCAAATATGAGTGTGTTGTTCAGACATACCACATAGTATTTTCACTGGAAGACATAGGACTGCAGAAGATAGTGCTGCTGTGGTCCAGTTTGGTCTGGTTCAGAGTGTCCTTGATGAGAACCAAGAACCAAACCATGGTTTGGTTTTTCAAAATCATTGAACCCAGAACCAGACCATTGAGAATGGTTCTCAATGGTCCAGTCCAGTTCTTTTCTGGTCCGAACACGAACTGAACTGTAAATTTTTCAAGCAACAGAAAAAACATTCACAAGACATCTACATGACATTGGGTAGCTAGTCTAACTACATACCAGCTGCATACCCTTCTGCCTCTACTGCTGCTGACACATGTCCATTCTTATAGGCTGCCTTCATCAATTGTAGCACAGAGAAAGTGGATGATGTGAGTGTGTTGTGGCACAGAGTTGATGTGATGCCCACACTGGAGAAAGCATGTTCAGATGGAACTGCACTGCCTTGAATGGGCAGGTAATCACGCACAACACAAGCTAGTGTTGGGTACTGCAGCAAATGTAACTAATCAAGAATGTAAGCAGGGAACAATGAATTTGAGGGCTGACTTACACCCCACCATGCCACAACATCATCAGTCTCCTCCAATGGTGAAGTAAGATATGTGGAGAGCTCTTGATGAGGATTGCATGTGCAATGGTCTGTAGCTTGACATTCCATGATAGCATCATGCATCCAGGAAGCACCATAATGAATTGAAGCTTTCATTGTTGATGATGTGGCCTCTGGCTCCTTGGGATGTGGTCCTGGGGCTGGAGGCACTTGATAATATTTGTCAAACTAAGAATACATCTGAAGTTAGAGACTGGCACACCAAGATAGATAAAGTAGACATCCAAGTCACTAGCTTTCTGGTAGTACTTCTCAACATTCTTGAGACCCTTCATAATGGTGTCCATGATGATTGCATATTCTGGATTTCCGGCCATTGTCCCCCATGCACTAGCAAGACACTCTAGCATGGGTATGGTCTGCCAGGCTGTTGGGTACATGACCAAAGAGAATGATTGCTGTGCAGTCACAGGTTCCTATAACAATCAGTAAATAAAATAAAAATGAATATACAAATAAATACCTTGAGGACGTCATGCACTAGCCATAGCTTTCTCCAGTTGGCTCAATCAAGCTTGAAGTTGCTATATGCCTTGTTGTGCAACTTTGGGACTTCGTGGCTCTCATCAGCAAGCAGAGTAAAGCGGTTGACAGCCTGAAAGATGTTAGATACTAAACCAGTGATTGTATGTCTGACTTACTAGGCAAAGAGACAAGAAGCACTCAAGGCACTTGAATAAGGACACCCAGCACATTCTCACCCATGACAAAATCTTGTGAACAGCAACACCTTCTTCCTCACATGATTTCTTGAAAAATGCTTGAGCTTGTGGTGATTTGCAGATCTAATTATTGATTGTGTCAATGAGAACTCGAAGACAAAAAAAGAGGACTTCACCTGTTCAATGAGTGTCAGTGTTTTTCCAACAGCATTGCTGACATTGAAACCATCCTCAACAATAGCTTCAGGGTCGTGTTCCAATGCCACAAGTTGTGCAGTCAAGCTAGTGATGTCAGTTTCCTCATCATGATCAATAGCATGATGAATCTTGTGTAGTAATGTGGCCTGTGGGGTGGGTGCAACTCCATCAACAAAATGTCGCACAGCAAGATTCAAGATGTGCTCTTGACAGCAGATGTGGCAGGGACCTGGAAGCCAGTGGGTCCTGTCCTTGTTTATGGCCTTTGCAACTTCATTCATAGCGGTATCATTATTTGAGGCATTGTCCGACATCATCCATCCAACCTATGCAAGCAAAGTCAATACACAGCTGAAGCCAGACTCTGGAAAACATACAAAGGGCAGGATGTCCGAAGGTACAGAGGGCAGGAGGATAGGATGTCCGAGGGTTAGGAGGACAGGACATCTGAAGGTATGGAGGGTGGGACACCCAGAGGTCCAGAAGGAATAGGGGCTACATCGGACAAAGTTGGATGTAGAAACAAGCAGAGGTAGACTACCCTAAGGTAGAGTCGGAGAGATCAGGGATTGGACCTAAGTCCAGAAAGAGGGTAAGTGCCGGAAGGGCAAAGCTCTGGCCTAGGGAATCAATCCCTAGGCCTGATGGATAGGACAGACTTAGGTGGACCAAAGTCCAAGAGAGGATTGGGCAGGTAGAGCAAAGTCTAAGATGATATTCAAACTGAGGAAACTACAGGAGTATCTACAGGGGTTATATACTGGACAATATCTGAGGGGATCAGTAAGCAAAGGAGTAGGGCTATGTACAAGCATGTGGAAACACATTAGTAAGTAAGACGGGACATAAGTAAATGAACTCGGCAATGAAGACTCAGACAAGGATTAATAAGCAAGACAGAACAAGAGGTAACCAAAAGCCAGAAAGGTGGAGATGTCTTAATGGGGATAGGTGCAGGATATCAGACAGAGGGTGGGAATAGGTCCAGAGATCTGGGGATCCAGAAGACAAGGTGGATACAGGACCAGGATATGAGGAGGTGGATATAGTCCAGAATCCGAGACAAGGTGAAGTCCAGATATCTTGCTGGACAGAGTGTGCATAGGGTGGATGGGATAGGGTAGTACAGATCAGGCCAGCAGTGAGGATCTGGAGGTCCAGAGGACAGGGGTAAATCTGGAGCAGAGTTGATCCTGCTGAGGTGTGGAGCACACAGCGGAAGGGGATCTGGCAATGAGTTGGATATGGGGTCCAGACATAGGCTCAGAAGGCGTGGGAATATTATGGAATGTGAGTCTGGATTGTGAGATATGACATGGACCTTGTTTGAAAGTTATTAAACAACATATCAAAAACAATGTTTTGATGTCAACATGGACACTGATGTCATCGTGGTTGATGTCGAAGTTGAGGGAATTCAAAGTCAAGGAATGGTTTGGGAAGGTTCAGGAAAGTCAAACCAGAACTGGACCATTAGTGAAGGTCCAGAACCCAGAACCGCTTTCCAGTCTGGTTCTGGCTGGTGAGGGAACCATGGACCGAACCACAGAGAACCAGACCAAAACTCCGGTTTGAACCGTGGTTCTGGACCAGACCGCGGCAGCACTAGCAGAGGATGTGCGGGGGTGGAGATGTATCTAAACCAGAACACGTTGGTGACAATGAGTAGGCTGTAGCCTAGAGCAAAAATGAGTATTATGTAATCAAGTACAAATCCTTTGCACAACGCATGATGAACAATCGTCTGCCTTTGCTCCGGTTAGACCGATAGACAAATGAAGGTGGTCATTAACTCCTCCTGCGGTAAACGCCTCATTCGGTTTAAGCTTGAGGTCATCCATGAGGTAGTAGCTCTTCGTTCTTGTTCTCTTTCATCATGGACAAGGACAACTGAAACGACTTTGCTTTTTCGCAAGGCTCTTTGATGATCTCAAGCTTCACTGTCGCTTTTCAGCATGTATTCACTACTACTCCTTTTACGGGCCACACTCAGCGCCATAGTTCTCCGAGGCTCAGTTAGAGGGAACCGTCTGCTTCAGAGCTACTTAAATTCCTAGAAGTAACATTTCACGGTGCGCAAACTTTGTCTATTTCTCTCTGATATAACCTCTTTATTCCGATGCGATTTTAAGGACTCTTCCAGACCTCTATGTTTCCTGTCAGCTCTTGCTTCCCCACGTCTTTCAAGAACAACTGTACGTGCGCCTTATATCACTGTCATTTCAATTGATCGATAATTCACACAAGTGGAACGCATGAATGATGTTACTCATTCGGTACTGCTACCTCCCACTAAGCTCATGAATAATATGTACATTGTGTCATATCAGAGCTCCATGCACAGCGTTGCCCAACGGTGGCTCAACATTTAGGACATTTTGAACGAAATGGTTCGTCAGGTATTTACGTCGTATTGCAAAGCTACTTATTCGGTTGTCCACCAGGACTTTGCGCTGAGGAAAACACCGTTTGTTGCTCTCGGCAGGTCAAAAAGGATACGCCTCCACACAGACCAAGGCTCTCAGTAACCTTGGTAGCAGGGAAAAGGTAGGTAGTACAATTGCTCTCGGATATGTTCGCTCATTCATTCACTTCCCAGCTCGGAGTCGCGAAAAAATAGGAACGTGGCAACTTGCCAAAGTCAGATTGGTGGTATAACATTGCTTTCAGAAAGACGGAGACACATGCTGCACGTAAGTCTTGTACAATAAAATATGAATGGAAACACTTGAAGAAGACTGAAGGCGGAGATAGAGCAGTCAGAGAACTCCATATCGACCTTCCATCTTTCGACTTTCCCGTAATATTCAGCGAACCTGTCGCTCTCTCTAATGCAGTTTACTCGACATTCAACTCTCTGCAGGAGTCCCAGAATCAGGCGACGATACCGTTCGCACCTCCCGCAGCGGTCCAGATACCTATTGTATCTATATTTCCAAATTATTTTTCCACAGATCCACACCTTTGGGCCATCCTTGACCCCGAGATTGCACACAGAAACCCTATAGAGGTCATACCTCGCCGGCTCATGCGGAGTTACCGATGTAGTTCGTATGACAGCCATTGCCAAGATCAAATATGAACTTGGGGCGCGCAAAACCAATTTGTCATTGGCCTGATGACTTAGTTACATGTCGTTTGTAAGAAATGTTCATCCATGCACCCTTCCAGGCTTTCACTCCGACGAGAAAGATCTCTCGAGGTTTCATTTCTACCGAATGCGCTAAACCTGTTGCTGAACTTGGTAGTGCTTAAGGTGGATGCGAATATTCCAGACATCACGCACTGCGGCGTGCACGAGTAGATCCAGGAGAAGTTCCGGTTGAACTTGACGGAGGAGGAGGCGTTCGATCACTCTTAGACGTTATTGAATGAGTTGTCGTATTTCACTGTTGTGCTGGATCAGATTCATGATTTGGCGCAGAGTTGGGTGGCGAGGCCGAGGACAGCCACATCAAAGATGATATTATCGTGGTGCGTTTTTCATGTTCCGCATACCGTGCACTGTCTAACTCATTTATATTATCATAGAAGTCAAAAGCATCTTTGACAGATAGCTTTTTTGTAGTCTTGGCTGCTCGCCGCGCATGGCCCCGCGAGGTGTATTGGATTTGGGCAGTGGTGCTGCACCCGTCAGCTCCGTATGTAGTTTCAAATATCTATTCAGTTATTGAATAATGAAACTCCCTTTAAACTCTTTGAATTCGTGACTACGAACTACCGTGAGGCTTCGTGCTACGCGCATCGCTGCCTCAAACAATAGGGTTGCGGCTTTGAATCTCTGTATATTATATTCATGACTGTCGAAAATCACTTCAATAGCGAAGCATTGTGAGTGCGTCTCCGAAGATCCTCTACTTCGCGTATGTGCCTGACCGTCATTGCCTAGTTGTTAACTTCTCACAATTAATGTTGACGGAAAACCGCACCCTCATCCTCAGACTTCGGAAGACAGCGCAGATAATTCTGCCTCAAGATACTTGTTCTGTAGGGCCTCGTGTCCCACTGCTCATGGGACCATCAGCCATATATGCAACAGGCTTTGGCGCCAGATAAGAACATGCTTCTGTGTCAAAATTGACGCCAGCACAACGACTAAACAAATCATATACTTCTGAAGTTCCCAACCCCATTTCTCCCTCGCTTCCTCTAGGTACTGGTCCGTACTGTGGTAAGCTCATTTTTCAACATGAGCATCTTGTTAAATTTCAAACACCTGCCTGGAGGGTTTCATTCTGTGGCACCTCGTGTTCCGGTGCGATCGGCTGCAGGGCTTTGGCGTCAGATAAGAACGTGCTTCTTTGATGTACAGAGCAGCAATTATATCTCTATGTAAGCACACTGGCTTACTAGATTTCTCATCATCTACATAAATGCTGTCCGCGATACTGAAACACAAGCTTTCAGTATCACTGCCTTTTGGCGTAACAGTTAAGCGGACGACAGTTTTAGCTAAGTTAAACTCTACCATTTCTCCCTCCCTACTTTCCTATGCCCCCCAGCCCAAACATGACAAGCGCATCCCCACAATCCAGTCCTGCACCCGCCGATACCGATCTCCCGACTAATGAGTGAGTGGCAAGTTGGACTGGGCTGTCCATAATACTCATGGACATAGGAATGCGATCGATGCGAATCCAGTGACCGAAGAACCTGCTGTGTCCATTGAAGTCGACCTTTATGAGAATATGTGATTGTAGAATGATCAGCATGGCATACTTGATATCTGACTGTGTTGTCTCAAAGGCCAGGCACCCTGGAGCAGATCAAGGATAAAATAAATCCGAATAACGCGAGCGAGGAACGTGTGGCGTCTATTGAGGGCGGCCTGGCCAAGAACATGTAAACAATAACCAACCAGCACGGCACACTTGACGTCTAACTATATTGTCTCAAAGGTCAAACACCGTGGAGCAGACCCCTGACAATGGGATCAAGCTGGATAACGCGAACGAGAACCCTGCGGTGTCCATTGAAGGGCGCCTTATTAAGATGTAAATGTCAAATCATCAGTATGGTGCACTTCACATCTAACCATATTTTCTCAAAGGTCAGATACGCTGGGGCAGATTCTCGATGTCCTCAAAGGGTCAACGATCGCAGAAGAACTCGGAAAAGATGACAATTCAAAGTTTTGGGCGACGTACAAGAAAGTTTCGACCGAGTACGACGATAACTTCCTCGAACGGGCCAATGACGATATGGGCATTATTCTAACATTTGTACGTTTATTTTTACTAATCTCTCAATGCAAGTCTCACAGGTGCATCAGGCTGGTCTATTCTCAGCTGTTAACTCCACCTTCATCGTTGGGATGCAGCCTAATCCAGGGGACACTACCAATGCCCTCCTCCTGTATCTCATCCAGATAACTGTTAATGGCCCGAATTCAGTACCTAACATCAACACTCTTTCCTCATCTACTGGATTTTCCTCTTCGACTGTCTGGGTGCAAACACTTGCCTATTCTAGCCTCGCATTTAGCGTCTTGGCTGCGTTCGGGGCTGTCTTGGGCAAACAATGGCTGAACTCTTACAAGTCAGTTCGAGGACGAGGGACTCTGGAGGAGCGTGGCATGCAGAGGCAGAGAAAACTGGATGGACTAGAATATTTCCGCCTGCAGACTGTCTTGCAGGCATTCCTGGTGCTGCTCCAGATTTCGCTCCTGCTCTTCGGTCTGTCGCTAAGCGCCAACACGTGGGCCAAGCAAACCACGATATCCAGCGTCATCATCTCCACCACAGCTTTCGGCATCCTCTTCTACATGGGCACTACCCTCATGTCGGCGTTGCATCCGGACAGTCCTTTCCAGGTACTAGGGCCAGGGTTATTTACGGCTATCTGCATAAAAATTCTCGAAATTCTTCAATACACATGCACATTCACTCCTAACATATCCGTCAAATTGTCCGCTATTCGCTGGATACTAGAAACCTCGACGAACCCAGAAATTCTTGAGGCTGCGGCTGCTATTGTACCTTGCATGCAATGGCCTCCGAACATTGATGCTTCAACAGCCTTCGCACATTTACGGGATAATTTTATCGGGTATCGTGACAGGAGAGAGCTATATGCCAAAGCCATGGCTCATCTTTGCATCCAGCCGGTGAAAATCAATCCAGGACTTCTGCAGTTTCAGGACGGTGAACTTCGTTCGACCCGAGATCGTTACATTCGCGATGAGTTCATGGCTGGACGTGCTGCCTACTATCGGCTCCTGAATTCGTGGAAATGGGGCAGAGACGCTGAACTGAAGCATCGGGCCAGTGTACGCACTGCTCTGAGAACAATGCTTGTTCACGCCGGACATATTTACCAGTTTTCACGTCCGGATGATGAACGCTTGATTTGGCACGGTGATGTGCACTGGAATCACGGCGATGACAGTGTGCCCTCCTTCCATCGGAGTGAGCCCTTCTTGGATCGCAGAGACAAGTCAGAGCCCTCCTGGAATTCGAAAGTGCCATCAGGCTCCTTGGATGGCAGGAGGAGACATGAGTCCTCCTTGGATCACAGCAGCAGGCGCGAGTCCTCTTTGGATCGCAGCAGACGTGAGCCCTCCTTGGATCGTAGCAGCAGGCGTGGGCCCTCCTTGGATCGCAGCAGCAGGCGTGAGCCTTCCTTGAGTCACAGCAGCGGGAATGAGCTCTCAGACTCCTTGGATGGCAGGAGGGGACGTGAGCCCTTCTTGGATCGCATCAGCATGTATGAGGTTTTGGATCATGGGATGCGTGGGCCTAGCTGTGAAGAATTTGATTGGATTATTGATTACCTGGTGGATGATGCAATGCATCGCAGAGACGATGAATCAAGAGGTGATGCTTTACTTGCACTGAGTTCCATGCATGGACTAGGGAACTCTGCCAAGCGACCATCCTACATCAAGTCACTTATCCAATGTATGCACTCTACCAGACCTCCCCGAGTCCGGCATACTGCGCTTAGAGCTGTTTATGAAGCTCGAGAAGAACTAGCTTCTATAACCAGTGCCTCGATGCCACAGAATCTCGATGCACGACTCCTGGATGAGCTTTCCCGCGCTCTATTGACTGCTATACGTCCAAATGACGGCCAGACAATCCATGGCACTGGACCCGACGCCACCTTCCACGTTGGTCGAGACTCTTGCTACATCCGCCTTATCTATGCCCTGACAAAGAACAATGAGTGGTGTCAGCGTCTAACCCGTGATGCCCATCTCGACCAGTGCATTCCTCTCATTGGCGGATTTTCTCTATCTCGCATAATGATTTTATCTGGCGTAACGTTTGACAGTGTCAATCATGGTCCGGAAGTCGAATTCTACTTTCTTGTGATCTTCGGACGCATCAAGTCCTCAGGCAAAGGTCTTCGTTTCAGTCCTGCCGAGAGTCTGATATGGTTGCGGCTCATCACACGCACATGGGAGTATGCGGAATATAGGATAAAGGACGACGACTATGTCGATGGAATTCCAGCCGTCGTGACAGCAACGATGTTGTTCCGAGGGAGTGGTTAGTAGATGTTGCTGCAAAGGTGCATGCAGCTTTGGTCAGATTACGAAAGAAACAAAGGGGGCTTGTGAATAAAGGTATAGCTCAGGCTGCAATTGATGCTGCACTATCCTCTATGCAGGGCTTGCACACCGAGTTCGGACATATGGTCGAGCAACGGAACACACCGCAAAGGGACACATTAGAAAAAAATCGAAATCGTGGGAGCCTCAGTGACAGGTATATGAAGGTCAGGAGGTCCCTGGACGACTTCTATTAGACCGGTGATGATACTGGATTGATGATCACTTAGTCATGAAGAATATGGTGCGTCTTCGTTGGAAGAAAGGAGGGGAAGAGATCCTGCATGCGAAGGAAAAATGTGGAAGTCGCGCTTGCGTGTTTTGGGCACGAATAGACTATGAGATAGACTAGAGTATGGGTAACGTACGCTACGAGGGAAATCGGTACTAGAGCCCGCCGCCACCCACATCAGTCCAAAACCAAGGTCCGAAGGTGCACCGGTGAACCGTGAGGAGGCCACGAAGGTCGCCCTGGGCAGCTTGACAGACGAAACAGCGGAGGGCTTGTACGATGATCTGCGTCGTATGACTGAGGACCAGGACGTAGGGATGGTGGAACTTCGGGTCACTTGAGGAAAGCATCAGTAGCGAAGCACTTTTACGCACTTGTTACGCGCATCGCAGCCCGTGCCTGTGCTTAGTGCCTAGTTCATGAGATTTACTCACAAAATGGCTGAAGCAAATTTCTACTTACCTTATGCACAATATCATAAATATGATTGCAGTCCCACTTTGTCTGTCAAGATGTTGGCGATTTGCCGCGTTTTGGCGCTGCAATCACATTAGGTACTGAGTATCACCTAAATGGCCTCTCCAGCGGTAAATCGAGTTGAACCATACGTTGAGCAGGAGGCAGACTTCCATTCATGTCTTAGAAATACAGGATGATTATGGGTACAGTGTCAATGTGTACAACGTCGCAGAAAAACAGACAATGGAATCTGTCACGCTCGGGTGTCAGAGGGAGACATAGGAATACTCTGTATATTCTGTGTCTTCGCCCTCGTAAGCCTGCAATTCGAGGCATTACGTGAGCGGGCGCATGACAGCATATAAAGGTCTGCTTACTCGTCAAAATGGGTGCCTCTCTTTGGATCGGCTCGTCTCTTAGCAAGTACTTTCCTGACCTTTCTCTCCGGACGAACGACGATGATGGGTACGGGGGAATTGGAGAGGCAATACTTGGACACACTGCCCACACCTGGCGCGCCGAACGCCGCACCCCAGGCTTGCATCATGCCGCGCTGGCCTCTAGTGCCCACTACGATTGAGTCTGGGCGGTACAAAGCAATTAACCGCTCGAGCGTTGTAGTGACTTTGCCAGCAATAAGCTCGACGATGATGGAGAGCTACGACAAACACAATGAGAAGGTATGCCGTAATGATAACGACCGCCTACCTTCCGCTCTGGATCGTACTCGATACATTTCTCCTGAATCTGCGCATAAGTTCACGAGCTTCTTCTCGAACGACTTCATGATCCTTCTCTAAGTTGTGATTTAACGTTCGCAGACGTCCAGATAGTATGAGCCACTTACCCAAATCTTCTGGATCGACACCTCTGAAGACGATCAACTCATCCCCAGTCTTGCACCAAGCTTTCCAGTGCCCAGTCAAGGGCATAACGTCCGCTTTCATCTGGACTCGACGCACAAAGAAATACCCTGGTCGCTCTGTTTCTAGCGTATCCATCTGATTGCACGTGCAGTGTAAATGAGAACATGGAAGCAGCGGGATTTTCGAATGTGTCGAACGACACTTTTGGCGTGTAACCTTGTCCGGCAACAGATTGAGCCGTGTTATGCTGCATGTTTACTGACGGGGACCGCGAGAGCGATGTTGAAGAGGACAAGAGGGGTGGCAGTCGCGATGTCGATGTTGGAGGGGTGAGGAACGAAGAAGGAAGGGGGGTCAATAGTGGCGACGACGGCGTGGAGGGTGATGGAAGCAAACAGGGTGAGTTCGGCTGGGACGACTGCTTCAGTGCCGAGCGTAAGCATACGATTGGAATATGAGTGTGCTGTTCGGACATGGCGGTTTGATAAAGGATTATTTATTAATTTTATTGATCAGATGTTACATAGCCAACATACCCAAAATAATAATCTCATTATTAACTCTTACCTAACTTTGATCTCCAACTCTCATGTCGCTTCCCGTTCAGCTAGTCCTACGGAGAAAGATAAAGAGCAGGTCGAGCATCGCACGGAGGTGACACCCGAGTCCACTGGCGAGTCAACCTCCCCAGAGGAGTCTGCTGAACCTTCAGATACAGACCAGGACACCACAAACGCTCATGCTTCCTTCCCAACAGCGGGATCATGGCAAGCCATATGGTCTCCTCAACACAACACCTATTATTTCTACAACTCAGAAACCAAAGAAACGACTTGGGTAAACCCTCTTCAACCCGCTACCTCTGAATCAGAACCTTCCTCGTCTTCCACCTCCCAATCTGGCCCTTCCACAACAATAGACTCTCACTACGCAGCGCTGCAAGCGAACGCGATGGCGCAGGGTATTGATCCATCCTTAGCCCATCTTGATCCATCGCTTGCTTCCTCGTCTGGTGTTCCTAGCAATTTTATGTACACCGCAAAGTTCAACGCGAGGACTGGCGCTTTTGCGAAGTCGGATAGTCGCGATCCTACTCACTTGTCAGAGTATGAGCGTGCTAAGCGCATGAGCGAGTTCTACTTTGACGTTGGTGCTTGGGAGAGGGATGTCGAGGCTCGCAACAAGGCTGAGATTGAGGCCGAGGCCGAGGGAGAAGGCAAGAAGAGAAAACGTCCGACGAAGAAGGATCTGGTAAGATCCGACATATCGACTCCATTCATATCGGGTGTTGATTTCAATTTTACAGGAGCGGTTCAAGGAACAGAAGAGATTAAAGAAGATCGCGAAGACGGCATGGCTTCGAACATAGACACCCTACTTACTGTCCTATTAGAATCACGAATTCAAAGCAGCCTGGCAGCAGTGATCTCCTTAGTAATATATAAAGAAAGCCCGCCAGCCGGATTGTCAGTATTCAATAGTACAACCATCTTGAGGTCTACGATGATAGGCAACTACCACCTAGCGATATCAGCATTAGCGTCCATAGGTATGTCCATTGTTATGCCTCATTTTGACGATGCCCTAAGTCGCGAATACGCCGATGATTTTGAAAGGAGGAACACTTTGTCCCTCATCTCCAAGTACAACACAGTCGACAAAGTGCGATCCTCGCGTGACAAATTGATCAATCACCGCAAGACTTGATGATCCATCAATCACCGTACACAAACGAAAATAAAACAAGACACTCACGTCGGTACCCCACCATTAACGTCTCCTGCATTTTCTATGATCACCGCACCTGCAAAATTATCATCCACCCAACATTCAATCTCACTTCCCTCCCCGATCTGGCTTATAGGCTCCTTCAAATAATAAATCCCGACATCTCCAGCGCCTACTTTGATAGGTACGCGCAACCTGCTCGTGGGAAGCGTGCTATACCAATAATATCCAGTCGTAAGCAAAGGAGAGGACCCTGCCGGAGGGTGTGCCGCTGCCCAACCAGACCCGTAGAAAAGCGACGGAGGTACGGGGTTCACAAGATCATTAGCAGACGCACAAAACGGCGCAACCTCTTCGAATGGCCGCGACTCTTTGGGGCGCGTATTAATTCGAACAGGAGGGAATTCGCAGTTCGGGGTAGATTGGTACGGGCTGAGATCCTGCTTGGGCAAGAGCTAGTGCATGTTTCTTCTCGGCTTCTGCACCGTCATCTACAGGGCGTGGTGGTTCAGGCACTGCAGCACCCTTCCTTGCGCCGACGCCTCCAAAGAGATGTGTATCTGCACCTGGGAGGTAGCCATGTGACATCATGATAGGAATGGTCTCGTACGAGTGGCCACCCGCCGTTGACCACGCGGCACATATCTGAGATTGGAAGTACGATACGAGAACGTCGGTGAGAAGTTCATGGCCTGTCGGAGTCGCAAGGATGGGATCCGCGAAGTAAGGCTTGATGTGGTCAGGGTTTGACATGTAAGACGGATATAGTATGGGTTTGATGCTTTACATAGGCGTCAGAAAATATTCTTTTGGCAAGTGACGAAATTGTACCTGATATGTGGCACGTCATAGAACTGTGCGACGATGTTGTGCCAGTGGTCAGGTCCTGCAAATCCGTATGCCTGGTGTATCTGTGCACTAAAATGCCCCAGAATGATGACTGCAGGTTGATCAGGGCGGTCCAATATTGAGCGAACCAGCAACTCGAAATGTTCCATCCCACGCCGGGTGCTGGTAGAATTGAGACACCACATAACACTTCAGCTGGAGATCTGTGCTTACCCCTCATCGTCGACGTCAAATTCGAGTATCACCAAGTCGGTGTTCTCTGGGATATGATGCGAGCTACAGAATCCAAAGTACCCTGAGTTTGTTCGCCTCATAGCACCGTTTGTAAGCTCTGAAGCCGGATGAGGGAAAACGCTCGACCACCACTGGAAAAAGCGTGAAGGATAGCAGCTAGGAGACAATGGATCATCCCCTGCCGCATGACAAGCAGATACTGTGCAATCGCACCATGAAGATAAGTTATTTTACGAGATAAAGAACACGCACCAGAACCACCAAGCACACTGATAGTCACAGGTTGACCCAAAAGCGCTTTATGAATAACCCGGTGCACCCTCCCCCCACTCCCCAAATGCAACCGACTCTGCGCCAACGGAACCACCCCGTACTTATTCGCAATCTCATCCTTAGGCCCAAACACAGGACAAAAGTTAAACGGGTTTGCAGCCTTCGATGAATTGCCGATAAGGTAGTTTGCTTCATGCAAGTAATTCTTTGGTATAAGGCCTTCTGTCGTAAATGACCCAGCGCGCGTATGGTTTGAAAAGGATATGTACCGGGATACCGCGACGAGTAGGATGAATCCGAGGATGATGGCCCATATTCTATTGGTGACGCCTAGCCGCCTTTGGTTCCACCTGTTACTGTGATTAGCAGGATCTGAGCCCATGCCCGTCAATCGGTGCTGATTGGGAGGGGAGATGCGTGCCAGACCCTTTCCAGAGCCTGAGCGTCGTTGCATAAAACTGTCGAGACAAAAGAAAAAAATACCGTATAGGCTGCCGAAATACGAAGCAAAGGCAAATGTCAATATTGCTTAACTCCGCGTTGAGGTTGTTAGGAACGAGAGACAAAATAATGGACACTGTGGGAGTTGAACCCACGACCTCACGCAATCTAGAAATGCGAAGCGTGCGCGCTACCAACTGTGCCAAGTGCCCTTTACGACACGCAGGATTGTATGGCACTTCGAACGTGTTATTCTATCTAGGGCCCTGTGACTTACACATTGACTGAAACTAATCTTATGGGCGACGTCTGGTGTTCACTCAGATCAGGAAAAGTAGTAGCAAGCCAATTGCAGTGGGGAGGAGAAGCACCTTTGAAATTCCACAGAATCGTATTGCGTCTCTAGCGTTACGCACATGCCTCCGTAGGGATACATCATGCAAACCAAATAAGCTCGACGCAATTAACAAATTATGTTATCCAGTTTTTTTGTCCATGTTATGTCCGATTGTCCGAGCGTATCATAGCTCGCTCATCTCCCTGTGATGCTTCACCTTCACAGAATCTACATGCTGCGAACGGTCGGGCATGTACTCCCAGATGGGATCTACATCGGGACCATCTATATCACCTGCGCCGTCCCACCCCCAACACCATACTGTATGACTTGTGAGTCAAGGGATAGAATTCAGAGTGTAAGGACGCACCATGCGAAGGCCCGGGTACAAAATCTATCTCTTCGCTTTCCTCTGGCGTGAACAAACGGTCATGAGGACCAAACCACGACCGGTCCTGTGGATCTGTCCGTGGATTGTCCGGAAGTCCCCCAAGACGCATATAACCTCGGATGGCAGTGAGGTTCCGTCTTGAAGGATGTATGATATCAAATACTCTCTGCAAAAAAACCAATCAATCCATCAAATACCAAATTATACTTCAACCGAAAACATACTTTATCGTACGCAAGCTTCACCCGCGGCACCATCAAGATACGTCCATATCCAGCCTCCCAGTAATCATTGCAGATCAAACTGCACTCTGAAGCAGAACACTCATCATCTGTGAGTCGAGCCATACGGAATTTGATATACGGGGGTGTATAAAATGGAGCAGGGTCCAGGACTGCAACACCATTCCAACACGACTGAACCTGTATGGGAAGGTGCATCTGGAAACGGTCGGAGGAGTTGGGATCAGTGGAAGACGCTTTCGAACGGAGCATTTTCTAGCGCTGTTCCGTTGATATCGCGAGCGACCCAGTTATCATAAAACACGGGAGAGGCCTATATACAAGAGTAAGAATGAGCTAAGGCTGTGAGTGCAATAATGGTACTTACCAGTTCTTGATGATACATGTAGTCTGAAGCACAAGTTATACCTGCATTATTCCGCCGACTCTGCCAGATAAGCTCAAGCAGGTCGTCTACGCATGGAGGATGTCATTCATAAATATGATAGTATCGAAGTATTCGTTATGCGAGTCGCGGAGCTCGTGGAGTGGGTTAAACGCCTGGTTGCGGACCTCTGCAAGGTACTCTATACGGTGATTGAAGGCACCTCGTGTACGTGTAGAAGTTCGAATGGTGACACGTAGGCCTACGCTACGAGTCAGCGCGTCGAATATCCGTAGCAGCGCCTTCGTCTGGTCTGTCGAACCATTTTCGTATATGGAGACATAGACATTGTGATACCCCAAAATAGCGGATACCCGAAAAAGAGTCGCAAATAAGTCAGGAATGACATCGAAGGAGTTGTACAAGTTGATGGCGAAGAAATATTTGTGCTCTTTCTTTGGAACATTGTGTACGTGTTGCGAGTCGGAAAATCCCCAAGAAGAGAACCAGGTGGATTCAGAAGGAGTTTTGTGTCCTATGAGAGAATCATAACGGTCCCGGACCTGTTGAACGTAAAGCGGCTGGGAATTTCGTGTGCACTCTGTGGTATGGTGTGGAGACAGTGTGGAGAGCAGGTCTAGGACACGACGGCGTTGATCAATGCTGGGAAGGGTTATTTGTTTGCGAGCGGACAAGCGAGACACAAATATGGGGTTGTTCCCGCCCGTTGACAAGAGCTACAAAACAATCAAACCTTGTCATGACAATAAGACGGTCAAAGTATAGACAGACATACGCTTGTTGGAAGTGTCTTGCCAATTAGCAAGCCTAGTAGCAGCCCAACCACGAGTGCCAAAGGAGTTGGCACTCGTTTTAACTGTAACCAAAATGTGTTTTGTTGCATGGTGGATGTAGGAGATAGACGGTGAAGAGCGACTCTGGAATATTAGATGGAGTGCTCAACCGTCGATGCAGCCCATGAAAAGGGGCGTAGGCTTGGCGGCAATTTCTTGTGATCTGCAGAAGAAGGCCAACCTCGGAGCTTGGTGAGTGACGAATCGATGACGGTCTGAAGTACGCAAATTCAACTTCAAATTGAGTCGGAGGCGAGTAAGACTGGGCGCTTGTGCACACAAATTCAAATAAATTGCCTAACATGGCGTTCAAGTAGATGAATAACGGAGTTCAACTACAATAAATGGCTATATAACCCCATAAATCCCTCCTCTAATCGAACCGTATGCAAGAAATCAATCAGGTAATCGTCAGTTAATGCTCAACGTCAACCTTCGAAACGCCGTGACAAGGACTATCAAGTCCTAATGCGCAAAGAATGCGAAAGGATAATGATAGTGAGATGACTTTATAATGACGCTGCCAGGATGGCAAAGGCTGCTGCACCAGTGAGTATGTTAACGCTATGCGATGATGCAGCATTGGAGGACCTAGCTTCCGTTGAGTATTTTAATCACGGAAAAATAGAATAAAAGACTGACGAAGGCTTGGCCAGTGGTAGCGGTATCATTGGATGATGTGGTAGCCGTTGCAGTAGCACTGCTAGCGGTCAAAGTGACACCCTGCATTATACACTTTAGCACATATTCAAGAAACAAGAATATCTACAACATACCACTGCAGCACAAAGCGACTGGGAAGCTGCATTGGCATTTGTGAGGTCAGACCCCGTACACGATGCCTGAATACAGGATGTGGTGCTGTTGACGAAGCCTCGCTGTGACAAAGACAACTATCGTCGGTGGAAGAACAGTTGCCGAAGTCAGCATTTGTCAGACACGGAACAGCGCAATCTGACAATGAAAAAGCTATCAGATACCGCGGTAAGACGACAAAGAAACAACAAGACATACTGGGCAGGCTTTGACGCGTGAGCAATGCCGTAAACGCAGACTGGACAGCGAAGGTGAGAGCGAGAACGACGACAGCAAAGCGCATTGTGGGTTAAGTGAAAGAGTATGAAGGAAGAAGACAGGATGAACAAGGGGAATTCGAATTTGAAGAGACCTTATATGAAACTACAGAATAATGTACATGCATGGCAACAACAAAACAGACAAGGGAAACAAAGAAACATGTCAATCCAGACATAATGCTTATCCTATTTTTAGCGCTGAACCAATATTTACTTCCGCATTGTTGTACTTATCACGTGCTTCGGTTATAACCGAAAAACTATCAAGTACCTCAGCCACTCAAACCTTATGTCATCGCTACAGCCAAACACAACCAAAGTCAGCGCGACATCTGTAGTTCCAGTTAGACGAGCTCGTCACACTATACATCCTCAAGACATGGTAAGTTACATCCTTGCTCTACCCTCCGAGTAACTGATTCGAACCCTTCGTAGGCCAGGACAAAAAGCGGTAAAGTGTGTTGCATCATGACCTTCACCCGTGATAGATCTTTACATCTTATCATAGACTGGCGGCAAGCGCTCCGCTCTTCAAGACGTTGTAACTCGTGAATACACCATCCATCTGCATAAGCTCGTACATGGCCGCTCCTTCAAAAAGCGTGCCCCTTGGGCCGTAAAATCCGTCGTCGATTTCGCCCGCAAGTCGATGGGCACAACCGATGTTCGCTTGGACCCCAAGCTCAACCAGGCATTGTGGGCTCGGGGTGTCAAGAGCGTCCCCCACCGGATAAGAGTGAAGCTTGAGCGTACGCGCTATATTTTTGAATTCATCATAATACTGACGGTCTATTTTTTTTACAGGCAAGCGTAATGATGAGGAGGGCGCAAAAGAGAAACTTTACACGTATGCCAGCCACGTAGTTGTGACCTCGTTCAAGGTGTGTATTCTCCCTCTGCTATTTCTCCTGTCCTCGACAACAACCTTTTTCCACCTAGGGCCTCCAAACCGCTGTTGTAGACGCAGAGTAAGGGCTGTCGGAAGGTCCTGTGTAGTCCTTTTTCACATATTTCATGCCGCCATGCATCATCACATCCAGCACTATGCTACTCCGTCAAAACTCTCGCGCACCCTGATGCTGTTCATGAATTTGAGTCCCTCTGAAACATCTCAAACTAGTGTTCTTGCCCGCCCAGCTAGGTTCCCGCGTTGGCCTTGAAAAACACAACCTGAGGTGTGCTTGTTTATCTGAAATGGGTGATTCACATTGATCGGTGGTGGAATGATAATATTGCGATGATATTCGCTTGGTCGCTGTTAGGGCACTAGTCACGTGTGGTTACATACTCCCAGGAGATCGATCTCCTATTCTGAATCGCTTTTCAGCTGATCAAGCCTGGCGATGAATCGGTTGATGGCATCGTTCTTTGCTCATTCAAATGTCTCTTGTATCGATCAGGAGATCTAACCTGGCCATGCACTACATACCCAGCCTTTATTCATCGGCTGCCGGTAGAACTTCTACATGCTACTTTCTTGCTCGTTGTCAACGACGGACCTAAACTGTCCTAGCATTTTCTCATTTGGGACAATCACCATGTCAGCAATTTTTTCTAGTCTGCCCATACTCTCCACTCGAGTGTGTTGCCATTGACGAGGCGTTGCACATTCAACACCAGAGATCTGGTCGCGCAGTTAAGGTCATGCATTTTCCAGAGGGTCTCTGCCTCCCACTACGTTCTAATTTGTGCATCCTCCAAACATCTTCCATAACAAGGCTCGCAACTCTTCCAGCCAACGGACACCTCCGAGTTAACCCTTAATTCTCATGATGGAGGACAGATGTATTGATTGCGAGATGTGATGTGATATCGAAAATAAATCCGGAGGGGAACTTGAACGGTAGGAAGACGGACATTCTGAGCACTATTTTGCGCTTAACCTATAATATTAACAGATATGTGTGCAATTCCAGCAGAATGTCAATGGACCTCAGATTTGACTTACTCTACGGTCCCTGATACTCTATTGGCGATTCCAATGTGTCCATGTACCAACCTACAATAGGTAACACGAGAATCCCCGAAGTCGAAGTTCAGGCGTCTCATCGTGCATCGGGGAATGCGAAACCGGATTCCGGGAGATCGGCAGCTGAAGCTTAGGAGATTCAAAGGAGAGCGCTCCCTAGATGTAATGTTATTTTCTGGGTCACCGCGCAGCTTGCCATTCTGCTAGACAACTTCAACGTTTACAACGTGCATCTGGCAGGTTTGCTCTGGGACTGTACTTCTCCATATCTTTCGCTGCATATGGCTAACCACGAGTCAATATTGTCCAATTCCTTAGCGGAGCCTCTCGATGTTGAGTCTCTGTTGGTGACTTGCCTTAGTTGGGTTCTGCCCCAGGAACCCAGCTCACAACTGCAATCCTTTTGAGGCTCGGCTGACATGCGTTCAGTCCAACTATGTACGGCATCATGTCACCGCATGTGAGGCTTTTCTAAGTATTCTACAGGCTTACACCGAGGATAAACCGTAGGTACTTCAGTAATGTCATGCATTCAAATGTTGGAGATGTTCCTCTTCTCCAAGGTCTTCAGTGCTCAGGCAGCAGTAAATTTTGTTCAGAGGTAAGCACTCCGCATTGCGCAACGAAGTACTTGCGTGCGGTGCCATCAACCACGCTACTCCAGTGAGAAAGCAGGAACACGACTCACTGTAGCTCATTTGATCTCACTTCGGCTCACATCTATATTCGACATTCTACCATGCCGGTGAGTCAATAAATCATGGATGAAACTACTTATACTCACCATGTTGGGTGGGCCGAACCTTGGAACGCATTGATAACCATCGCAGCAACCTGTATCTAAGTCGCAAATGTGGAAATATGAATAGCATTCGCTGTCGGCACTGACAGCCATAGACACCATCAAAGCAGCAACGACGGCGAGGACGACTCAGAAAGAGGGGCGCATTATATGTGAGATGTGATATGGGATCTCGAAATAAATCTGAATGGGGGCGGCAGGAAGACGGCTTGCTTTTATGCCCTGAATACTGCTCTGTGGGGATACTATCCGCCCTAAATCCACCTTCAAACCGATGATACCTGCAATGCCAGCAAATTGCCAAGGACCTCAAATTTGACTTGCACTGTCCCGGGTATTCTATTGCAAGGTGGAAGAACCCAAGGACGACCAGTACGTCAGCGACATGAGATCAGGCGTTTCATGGATGCTGAGAACTTCAGAGTCTCGCCATGCATTGGGAAACACGAAACCAGATATCGGCAGCTGAGGCTTTGGAGACCCAAATTGCAAAACAGGGTGCGCTCCTCGGGTATAATATTGTGCACATTATGTGAGTCACCAAGAATGCAAATTATTTTTTCACAATGGGTCTACAGACCGTCTAGCATAGTGTTATAGACACGACGTACGTATACGTGAAGGAACGCTGTCTTCAATTGGTCTGGCTAAGCGAGGTTTGTATGGTATTTTTATAACCCGTGTGCGGCAATATTTATGGCATCCTGCAGTGATGATGTCCCCAACTTCTCCGAGTACACGCATCCTCCAAATATCTTTCATAACAAGGCTTGCAACTTTTTCGGCCAACGCCAAGGCTTGTCAACATCTCAACGTTGCATCCCTTAATTCTCACGTACCTCGTACTGACATCTGCAACTTTTCTCGTGAACGATCCCTCAAATTTCCTGCTTTGAGTTTGAGGTCACAGTGAGTATGTAGTTATATTCGTGTTCACTGTGTAATATGAACTGACCAGTGTTTCTGTATCTAGTACGGATGTCCCATAGAAATGTTCAGCACTCAAGAATCGTTGCAGCCGAGCCCCCCTCCCTACTCCCATTCTTCATCTCTAGCATATCTCCTCTTCTGCCTTCCGGCTTCTGTATCGCGACTGCCGCCTCTCTCGTCTTCTTCGACGTCGATCTCGCTTTTCTCGTCGGTACATAACAGAGTACAGCCTGTCCAGTCTGTAGCCGGGCAAGGTTGCGCGCCCAAAGTATCATTCGACACCTTCGAAAACCCTGCTGCGTTTATGCTTTCGTTCACCCTGCACAGTGTAATCAGATGGATACGCCAGAAACAGAGTGACGAGAATATTCCTTTGTGCATCCTGTACGAAAGCTGGCGTTAGGCCCTGGACTAGCCATTGGAAGCTTGGCGCAGGACAGTGACAAATTAATTTAAAAGTGTCGGTCGATTCAGACCATTTGCGTGAGTGATGAATATCTCTTGTAACTGACTTCCACAAACATCAGAGCATAGTGATAATAAAGTCGTTTGACGCTCATCGGAGAATTTTTTTAGATACGGTGCCAGGACGGAAGGTATGTGGTCATCATGCATGTTTAGGGTGTATATTCACGTAGTGTATTTTAGTTCATTCTCGTCAAGTTTGTTTCTGGTAGGTCACCACAATTCTTGACCATTTTGTTGCTCTGTATCGGTCTGACTCGGTCGTCGTGGACTCTGGGGATCGGCGCGGAATGATGCAAGCCTGAGATGGCTTTTAGTGCGCCTGGTATAAGCAGCGTGCCAAAGTATTATCTGTCAAATTCACTCGTGCCCACCATCCTCGTGGTGGATGTCATGATATCAGATTCGAGTCATTCGACCACATTTTGCCTTGAATCGATGATTCTCCCCTTCTTTCATCAGTCATCTGGACGCACAGACTCTGGGCTGGGTATTTCCATGTTACAGAAATTGATTCTGGCGGGACAGATACAGATCAGCAGTCGAGAGTATTATGGAGGGAGTTTCACTCGCTGCAACTTCCAATATACGATTGTTAGACTTTCAGCAGCGTGCACGGCCGGAAAAAAAAGTTGATGTGCACATGATACCTTTGAGTCGTTGCTCTCGGTAGTGCTGGAGGTTGCCATCTGTGTGGAAGTGATGCTGACATACAGGGCGGTGGCCGTTGTGTAATTCGAAACTCGCAGAGGAAAGGGAATTGGGCTATGATCAAACAACAGTCTAAGATGATGTGATTGAAGCGGGATTCTATCTCGAAGTATAAGGGACTTCGAATTTGTTCGATAGCCTTGTGTAAGTTAGGGAAGCGAGTACACTGATATCATAAAGGGAAAATAGTCAATTGTACTGCATCGAATAGTTAACGACTCAACCTTGAAGACACAAATATATCAACCCCAACGTAAACTTACAGGTCAGAACTGTAGGATATAAGATTGATATAAGACACCCCTACATAATGGTTTGTCTTCAAGGCTCCAAAGACTCGTTGTCCCTTTGCGAAGTGTTTGTGTTCTCGATCATACGACACAAATCGTCATACAGGCCCTGCACAGAGGACAGGCCAGCATCAAATAGGGCCTGATCTAGACCGAATTCCAGAAGGAAAGCTTGTTCCTGTGGCAATGATTCCAAAGCCCCATGCACATCTTCAGTGAGCTCCGCTACCTCCTCATTAGGAACGCTAAAATCCCAGCTTGGTAAATCCTTCTTCGTCGCCGCCACGAGGGCTGGTAGTGCGCTGACGTAGTCGTCTATGAACATGACATTCCTTGCGGACTTCCATTGTCCCCTCATGAATGCCCGCCACCTCTCCTGGGCAGGCCTGATAGGAGGGACCTTGTCTGAGGGATCAATACATGCGAAGATCCCAGCGAGGTAACATCCGGGAAGCCAAGTCTTGCGCTCAAGGGCATTCTCGGCTAGAGAAACACAATGCTCGAAATGACCACCACAGGTCAGACGTTCACGCCACTCATCATTCTGTGCAAGGGCAAGGATGAGACGAGAGTAGCAAGTATCTCGATTCCCGTGTGAAGAGATGTCGGTTCCGCTGCGTTGGACTACCTGGTCCTGCCAGTAATTTGGACGTACAACAGTCAGAAGAGCAGAAGAAAGCTCGTCCAGGAGCGTTGCATCCCCCTGTGGTATTGACTCATTTGTCATAGATGCCAGTTCTTCTCGAGCATCAACAACAGCTCGTAGTGCAACATGTCGGACGCGGGAAGGTCTGGTGGGGTCCATGCAACGGATAAGCGCTGTGATGTAGGAATGACGCTTGGTAGAGCTTCCCAGGCTGTGCATGGCGCTCAGCGCGAGCAGAGTATCACCTACAGTTTCATTATCTGCCTCGGTGTCTACCTTTTCCGCTTCTTCCGCTAAGTAGTCAATGAGCCAGTCGAATTCTTCACAACTGGGCACGGGCTCGTCATTCTGATGCCATCGTAGATCACCATGCCAAATTAAGAGCTCATCATCCGGAAGTAAAAAATAAGCGGAATACCCGTGGACAATCATTGTTCTCAGAGCCGTGCGTGCGTCAGCCTTATGCTTCCGTCGGGTGTTCTCTTGCTGCTTGTTCTTGAGCTGATTGCAGGCGTTACGACTGTCCATGAACGCATCACGAATGAAATGGCTCTTGCCTCCCCAACAATCACGGATTTCCATGGGTTTGTAAAGAGGGAACTGATGGGTTTCCAGCGACTGGCTGCAAAGATGAGCCACGGCCTTGCCACACTTCACAAATACCCCTTCCATTTTACGACATGCCTCGAAGTTATCCATTAAGCGTGCATAGATTGCGGAAGCATCAAGGTCCCGCGGCCATTGCATGAGAGGTACCATTGCAGCCGTAGCCTCGACAACTTCCGGATGAGTGGATGTCTCTAGCATCCAGCGGATGGCGGACAATTTAATGGATGTGCCATCAGGAGTGAAAGTCAACCTGTCAGGGAGAAATTTTCTGCAGATGGCTCCCATTAGCTCTGTTCCTGGTGTCTGGAAAGGACTGTCCGGATGGAACATTGTCACGAGGATAGTACTTGTGTAAAACAGGATGCCGAATGCGGTGGTGCAGATAACGACGCTGGATATCGTTGTTTGCTGGGTCCACATATTGGCGCTGAGTGATAAGCCGAATAAGAGTAGCGAGATCTGGAGGAGCACGAGGATGCCCTGCAAGACGGTCTGGAGATGAAAATACTCCAGCCCATCCAGTTTCCTCTGCCTCTGTATGCCGCGTTCCTCCAGAGACCCTCGTCCGCGAGCTGCCTTATAAGCGTTAAGCCATTGCTTTCCCAGCACAGCCCCAAACGCAGCCAAAACGCTAAATGACAGGCTAGCATAAGCAAGCGTTTGCATCCAGACAGTTGAAGAAGAATATGGCGTGGAAGAGGAAAGACTGCTGATGTCATTTATGGTGCTTGTGCCGTTAGCTGTCATTTGGATAAGGTAAAGCAAGAGGCCGTTGGTAGTTTCTCCTGGGTTAGGCTGCATTCCGATGATAAAGGTGGAGTTGACAGCTGAGAATAAACCAGCCTGATTCGCCTGTTAGATTTGCATTGATAGATGTAAATGAACGCACGAAAGTTAGAATGATGCCCATATCGCCATTAGCCCGCTCGAGAAAGTCGTTATCATACTCTGTCGAAACTTTGTCATATGTCGCCCAAAACTTAGAATCAACCTCTTTGTCACGTTCTTGAGCTATAGGAGGCCCTTGTCGTTCATTGAGGATCTGTTCATCGGTGTTTGACCTGTCACCCAACATGATCAGACCTCGAGTGTCCTGCACCGATTGGTTGCTTGACACTTACACATTCTTAGGAAGGCCTCCCTCGACAGCCTCGGTAAGTTTCTCGTTAACAGTATTCAGCTTGACCCCATCACTGTAAGTCCATAAGTGTTACACTCAACCCAACCTAGCTCGACACTTACTCGCTTGTTGGGAGGTGAGTATCGACAGGTGCGGGACAGAATTGTAACAACCTGCTTTGAGTGTTTTGGTTTGTGGTGGACATGAAGATGTTGAAGGCGGGTGGGAGAAATGGTGGAACTTGAAGTGCTGTGCTGGCGTCATGATGTTTATACCATCATAGAAGTGCCGAAAGGATCGGTCATGGAGACTCGAGAGGTTTAGGTTAGAAAGATAGTGACTTGCCACGGCCTGGCCTCCCTCAACAACTGCAGCAGGTCTTTTGCTCGGTATGTATATCGCATCCCTGTAAGTTCATAGGTGTTACACGCAACCTATTCTAGCTTGCCACTCACTCGCTTGTTATGTCAATAGATGCAGTACGGGGTTGTGGTGATCCGCATTGGGTGTTTTGGTCTATGGTGAACATAGAGATGCTTGACTTCAAAGCCGTTGGCAGGGATGAAGAACATGAAAGTGCCTGTGCACATAGATGCATTGTCATTTACTCATCAAAATACTCCCATCGACCCAAACTCCCATTCACTGGCTGCCAGTGCTAGGCACCTAAGCTTAAGCTTGTACACCAAACTAGTACACCAACCTATATTGTGTCAGGATACCGTTGACCTCAGTTGACCTACCTCTAGTACCTTCTGAGTTCTTACTGCTATCTGAATCCCAACACAACATGTTCTGTTTCTGGTTCGAGTCTCAGTGCTTCTACTTCACAATGGTTCCATCTGTCCGTTGTTAACCTGGTGCTATGAAATTGTTTTGCTCTTGCTGCATGAAGGGACTAATGGTGGTTGATGATCTTGTCAATTGATTGATATTCATTCGCACAGGCTGGACCTGATTCGCACCACTGGCTATCCTCCAAGGCGTCCTGTACTCCGTCACGCTCGGGATGGATGTGCCTACTGAGGTGGATTGAGATCTGACCCAGTCGCCGGCGAGCCACTCAGGCTTCATAGATGTTTAGAGAACTTCAGAGTCTCATCGTGCATTGGGGGCAAAACTGGATGCCTGGAGATCGGCAGCTGAGGTTCAGGAGATCCAATTCCAAAGGAGAGTGCTCCAAGCTCAATGTAATTTTATCTTCTAGATCACTGTTAGGGTATAGCACGGGCATGGGCCACACCGCGGGTATGGGAGTCACGGGTATGGTGGGTATGGGTACAGTGTCGAGATGTGGTACCCGTGGTCATACCGTACCCGTCAGCACGGTGTACCCATAGGGTATGTTCATGGGTTGCCGCGCTATCTCTGAATCTTCTCTGTGGTGTGATATGTTGGACATGACAAGGATCTGCCACTCACTACAATCCTTATTTTTTGGAGGGTCATTGACTGCAACAGTGACTCGCTGCTTTGAATCCCTCAATCCTATTTCTCGCCACTTCAATATTCCTGCCAGTTCATATTCTTCCATCTCTGCAGCCCATAGCGGACAATGTTACAAAATATGTTAAGCTTGTCCTTCCACAGGTCAAAGCAACCCCCTCCGAGTTGCAATCCGCTGCTCAGGAAGTAATTGATGTCGATGTTAATGAAAATGATGCGCCCCCTGCCGCTGAACAGGATGATGAAGCTGATCTAAGTATGTGAACTTGTTGCTCGTGTTTGCATGGACCTTGATTGATTTTCACTCACAGACGCACTCAAGGAAACTTGACGACTATTTGCAGCAACCAGTGGGGAATACCTAAGTCCCACTACGGATACGTCTTTTGATTATGGACCCACTATTAATGGTGGGTCCATAATCAAAAAACGTATCCGAATTTGCACCGGATGGCACTTGATTACCTTAGTATTCTGGGTAGGTTGTGCACCATTGCTCTCTCTAGCATCACAGCCTATGCCTGTTACGCACCATAGCTACCTCAACTGCAGTGGAACGTGTATTTTCATAAGGCCAGCACCTTCTACACTTCACTCGAAACCGCCTGTCTCCATTTTCAACCCATGCATTCCTGTCTTGGCTTGTGGCTCCACTGTGATCTGGTAGCACCTGAGGACCTTACTAAGATCATGAAGTCTCTGAAGAAAAGAAAATGAGAGGACAAGAGTGTTGGATGAGGTTATTAGGGGAGCTCAAAGTTGAATGCTCACGTTTATGCTTATCGTTGCTTATGCTTACACCCCCCAATTACACACCAAAATGTAAAGTACCATGGTGCAACTGTCAAATGGACGTGTTTTGACTTGTTTACTCAACAGTACAAATCAGTGAGAACAGGGGGGTGTAAGTGTAAGCAACGATAAGCATAAACGTGAGTGTTCAACTTTGAGCTCCCCTATTAGACCTATGTAGCGTTACTTCTTGTATGTGTGCCCATGGGTAAATGCAACACTGTGGGTAAGCTGCTATACTGCGGGTCAATATGGGTACGGTGTTGATCTTCCGACCTGCAGGTATACCTGTGCTATACCCTAATCACTGTGCAGCTGTAAGCATGCTGGCTTACTAGATATCCCATAATCTACATAAATACTGTCTGCGATACTGAAACATAAGCTTTCAGTATCACTGCCTTTTGGCGTAACAGTTAAGGGACAACAGTCTTAGCTAAGTTACAGCAGCTTGCCATTCTGCTAGACAACTTCGATGTTTACAATGTGCATCTGGCAGGTTTACTCTAGGACTACACTTCTCCATAGCTTTCACTGCATAGTATGGATAATTACAAGTCGACATTGTTCACTTCATTAGCAGAGTCTCTCTCAATGTTGAGTCTCTATTGGTGACTTACCTTAATTGGGTTTGGCCACAGGAACCCAGCTCGGAATTGCAATCTTTTTGGGGCTCATCTGACATGTGTTCAGTTCGACTATGTGTTTTTTTGTTTTTTTTTGTTTATTGTATGTTGGGGTGGTTGACTATGTATCATATCATATCACTGCATGCAGTGAGGCATTTACAAGCATTCTACAAGTCTACAGCGAGAATAAACTGTAAGTACTTCAGTTGTACATCATGGATTCAAATGTTTATGATGTTCTCCTACTCCAAGGTCTTCATTGCTCAAGCAGCAGTAAAAATTGAGGTACACACTCTGCATTGCACAATGAACTACTTATGTGCGGTGCCATCAACCACACTGCACCAATGAGAAAGCCGAAACATGACTTACTGTACCCCATTAGACCTGCTCACATTTATACACGTAGAAAGGCTACCATGCTGGTGAGTCAATCAATCCTGGATTAAGCTACTGAAGCTCACCTCATCAAAGCATGGGTCAAGTACTGTCACGCATTCATAGCCACGACAGCAATCTTTATGTGAATTGCAAAGGTGGCCATCTGAATAGCATTCACTGTCAGCACTGACAGCCATAGACACCATCAGTAAATTCACACATTGCTTAGCTTCCTTTTTTGCAACTTGCCACCAGCTAATTTCCCAAAAAGGTGCAGATAAGTCCCTTGCAAGAATGGTGACACCAACTTGCTGTAAACTTGCCACAAGGCAATTTTAAGTCGAAAAAGCAGGTGCCTCCTCTTGGCTGTGACTTATTTCAATCTTTTCTAACTTTTTGGGCAATTATTTTTAACAGTAGCACTTATTTCTCCATTGCATTGCGCAAATTGTTGATTCTTATTTCACTTATTGTATGCTTATTTCACTTATTTCACACTTTTAATATAAAAATAACCACAAAAACACTGGCATTTTGTAAATTAAGCAAGGGAAAGAGCATGCAAGTACTAGTAAGTGGTGAAATATAGACGTCAAGCAAGAACAAGCACAAGAGATTCAATATACTATGTGGCACCTAGTAGTAGTGAATGACTCTACAAAATCGTCAGTTAGGGAATAGTAGTGAACAATGAAATGGTACTACCAGTTGTTGTAGATGAGTGCATGCTCATCGTCGGAATCCTCGCTGTTGAGAGTGGCGGGTGCACCACGCCTCTTTGCAGCAATGTCCTTGGTGTGCTCCCAGACATCCTGGATGACCGACTCTCGGAGGCAGTTGATAGACTTCATGTATCCCCTGGTCACCTCACTGTAGTTCATGTCCGAAAACGCCTTGAGAGCGCTACTGGGCTTGCCCAAGGCTTTGTTCACGGTGTGTGGGACCTTGATGGCCTTTCCTTTGCTGTTGACTTTCAGTTCACTGACACACATGTCCCTGCTGAAAATATCGAGGGCATGTTCCATCTGAAACACGAGAAATGAGTTAGTCATGGTATGACGAGAGAATGAATATACATGCCACTGCAGTGGCAAGACTAAGGGCGCCCTTTGCGTGTGTGACCGTCCTGTGGTTGTCAACAGCACCCCAAGTAGTGCACCTATGCTGTATGAGAACTTGAATGAGGAGTTCAGATTGAAAAGGCTGCTTGAATTTGCCGTCCTTGGTGACGGTCCCATACAAGAAAGCTAACTTGAGACATAAGTTTTTCACAAAATTTTTGCGATCCTCGTCAGTCTCCACATTGTCCTGTGATGACATGAAGTGCATAAGTACTGTGATGGCAGTAGTGCCAACACTGTTGCGCCACTCTGATAGCCACTGGGTAGCCTAATAAAAAAATAAAACACAATCAGATATGAAATGTGTCAAAAATGACTTACTAAAGCCATAACCGGCCCATCAATGGTGACTGTGTGAGGTATATCTTTGTAGACTGCATTCCAAGTGTCTTGCATAATAGCACAAAGCGTCATCTCTGACTCGAGTCAGCCCCAAACTTCGTCTTGATCCCCAATGGTGGAAATGAGGGTAGGAATGAAGACTGAGCTCCACCTAGCGACTGCCTGAGGACCTCCAGGAAGGTTTTTGATCCTGTAAGCAGAACGGGGGAGGATCTCCACCTCTACAGATTTCAGCACGGCGCCA